ATCAGCAGGTGTGAGGATGTGAAGATGTAGATCAGCAGGTGTGAGGACGTGAAGATGTAGATCTGCAGATGTGAAGATGTAGATCAGCAGGTGTGAGGATGTGAAGATGTAGATCAGCAGATGTGAGGCTGTGAAGATGTAGATCAGCAGGTGTGAGGATGTGAAGATGTAGATCAGCAGGTGTGAGGTGTGAAGATGTATTATAACGGCTGCTTTTTTACGAAGAACCCTTCGCAGGCGCTCTCGGGAAAAACGCAACTTCTTTGTGGGTTGGTAGACTGACAAAATGTGCCAACCCAACTTCTCAATGGCATTTTGGGTCCATCGTGCTTGTGATTTTTTTTTTGGTCTGGATTGTGGTGACTGTTAGTGTAAGGGGGGACAGTCCAATATATATACATATAATTATATATATATATAGAACATGTGATTTCTATAGAAACATAGTTTTATTGATTTGGACAGATATGGTTCAATATTGATTACAGGTAATAACACTATATCACGTTCAGAAACATATAGTTAATCACACGATCATATGTATCTCATGCTTTCCCAGCCTTCAACTTTTCCAAACCTATTGGCTGTGCCAGCTGCAACATGGCCTCTGTCAAACCGAGGCGATTCCACGGTTTCTGGTTGCAACAAGTCACTGAGTCCAGGCGGAACTCTGCTGATGTCCTGCTTGGAGTTGCTGAAGATATATATAATTGTAATGGATATTGGGTGGATATGAACCCATGACTCTTGGATATTTAATTGGGTATTAATGTATATTAATGGATATTGTTGGGATATCAATGGATATTTAATTGGATATCAATTTGAATATTAATGGAGAACCTGGATTTGCTGAAGATTATATCCCCAATAGTAATGTAATAGATCCCAATACTTGGGTGATGTGAAAACATGCAGGAAGAATTGGGACATTTACATTTGCTGAGTCGATGATTTGGCGTATTTTTCCAGTGGGAAATCCACTACTTGGGGGAATTTATTGGGCCCTGCCAAGAAAACCAAGAATTGGTTTGTTTGAAGTTTGAAGATTTCATTATCGTCATTGTCCTATGTGACATATGTGTGATGTTTAGTGCTTCCCAACTGGTAGTGTCGTGTCTGAACATTTGGGGAACCTTGTAATCGTCATCGTGTCAATTGACAGGTTTCTCCTGTAACATGATAATTTTCCCATTTCATTCACGGCCATTTTTGAGGGGAGGAAAAACACAATTTTTAGACACACCCAAATTTTAGTGATGGCCTTGTTTTTCCAAATGTTTAGATGATTTAGATGAATATTGAATTTTGTATTTCCACATATGAACATTATTATTGATTTACAGCAACTTCGATTCTTGTCTCTTGCTGCCAGCCCCTGTGCTGGTCCCATGTTGGGATTAAATTGTTTGGTCATCTATGGGATGAGTGGCCCACTTGCACTGAAAAAAGGCCCTGTCCCAAAATCTGGGAGGGGGCCCCCAAAAAATCGCAAGTTTGATCAAGAAACTTACTTTCCAAACCATGACATTGGGGAGTTTACCGCATCTTTGGACGAATCCACATCATCATGTGTGTTGCTTATATCCCATGATATCCCTGTAGCTCCTAAGAATAAATGGGATGTGATGGATACAATATGGGATGTATATATATATAGATATAATGATATATATATAGATATATAATGATATATATATAGATATATAATGATATATATATATATATATAGATATATATAATGATATATATATATATATGTGTGTGTAAATATATTCTAATGGGTGAGTCTGCTGCGATAGATGATACTCCATTTATGTTCATCCAGGTTGGGTGGCACCACGAGGCTGTGCGAAGCTTGGAGTTTGAGATGGTCGAGGTTGATAAACGTACCAATTCAGCTATTGAAATCTATGGACTTCCCTTGGAAATGATCTAGAAATGATGGATGCTTCATATTTGTCTTAGTTTACTGGTGAATGCTTAACCGTCAACATGGATGAACATTGATCTGTCGCACGGATGTTTTTGAGCATGTTTACATTAATTAAGAAAAAACACCTTACATGCAGAGGAATTTGTTTGTATGAACCATGTTCCAAAGTCTAAGTTTGGATGAACAAAGATACTCTGCCTGTCTGCATCATGCGTTCAAGTTATCTCCTGGTTTCACCAAGGTTGAAGGCCAGTGAAAGTCAAGGCAGTCGTCATTCGTGCCACTTGGTTCAGCGACGGTGGTGCATCCAGTGGTCATCCGCTGACAACTTCTCACTGACTTGTATTCTCACCATCAACGAATGCAGACTTAAAATTGTCCGCATCAAGGTCAGAAAAACAGCCGGAAAGATTTAATCCACATTTTACCCATTTGGTAATCTAAGATACCACATTATTAAGAATGTTGGTTTTCCATAAATCAAATATATTTCATCACCAGAGGGTATCTATAATCAAAATACCCTCCTGTAAACTAACATAGATAAGGATAATCCAAAGATCGTAGATCATTGCAAAGGTAATTTCGAAATCATGGATTTCCATTGCTATCTTAGTGTGCTGGAGGGTACATTCTCCGGGAAAAAATGTTGATCAAGTTTCACCATTATGAGCCCACTTATTCACTATTATTTCCACATATTTCCACATGTTTACATCATTCCCTTGTTGGTAGTGTCAGGGTCTCACAACCAGCTTCCAATCTGCTGCTGATTAATCATACTTTTCCCATTAAAATTCCTTCCAAGTGCCATTTTGGGGGTGTACAGTCCATTTTCAGACACACTACAATGTCACATTCTCAGTTCTAGGACACTATATATATATATACACACACACACCATATTATCAGCTATATGACTAGAATTCATTATAACTATTAGTATATATATATATTGTATATATATAACTATATCAGTAACCATTAAATCACCATGAAATCATGAAATCACCGTTGTGACGAAGAATCCCAGGCCTCGAGGAGATCCGCGAGCCCTGCGTCTATGCCTCGGGGGTCTGGGTGCAGTGCGCTGCATCCCCTGGCTCGGTGGCCATGGAGGCGCCATCGGAAATTCACGGGATTTTTCCGTAGAAAGTAGGAAGGTCAGCACGAGAAAAAAATGCAAAACATAGCAAAACATACGAAAACTTAGGAAAACTTAGAATTTTAATGTCATCTGTGGATCGAAGTAGAAACTTATTGGAGATTTCAGCAACACAGTTGGATTTCCCCGTAAAAAGAACTGGAACAGAGTTGTAACAAAATATGAATTTAATCATGTTCCAACTCTTGTTTTCGTTCTCTTCCAAACGTAGCGTGCATATGGGTTTTCCAGAAGTGGAGTGTACTCCCCAAATCGCCACTTCAGTGAGAAACAAAGCCACATGGAATTGGGAACATGGCATAATGTATAGGTAAAACAATGCCGTAAATCACCCATCTGGGAATGGTAACCTGCCCCCACCTATTGATGGCGATGACTGGGGGATGGTGCAAATGGCACAGCTACTGCCTGCAGGTGGGAATCACTGCGCGGGTCGAAGATTCTCTGGAGCCGGGAAATGCCAAAAGCCGCTTGGGCACAGAGGTGATAGAGATTGGCCGAGGCTAAAGGTGCCATAAAATTTTGAATCCTTTTGGGTTATAGAAAGTTCCAAAAAAATAGAAAAAGAACATCCAACTAAACGAGTTGTAAACTACAGTTCTATCTTTTGTGGGGTACATACATATATAATTACATACATTCATTTTTGTCTGAAAATGGTGGTAGAATTACACTTTTGTATTCCAAAATGATGATGAAGTTCAAATTGGATGGGAGCATGGTGGTTTAAGTTGTGTTCCCCCATGATCAAATGCATGTTCGACAAAAACATGTAGTGCACAATGGGAACTGAAAATCGGGGCGGGGTTTTGCCAAAATAAAACACTGATGCGAAGAGCGACCAATCCGATATGAGAACCAATCTCACCAAGGTCGCTGTAGATTTGGGACAGAAGGTGAACTGGGCAGGACATGGCTAAAGTGGGTATGGTGGCGAGGTTCCATACCAATCGGTGCCATATAAAATGACCGGTGGAAAGCACATACTGTATAACATGATAATAACATGATAATAACATGATAATAACATGATAATAACATGATAATAACATGATAATAACATGATAATAACATGTGCAATTGTTGGCTAATCCCGCCGAAGAATGACCCATGTTTTGCTGATCTTTTGACCAACGATTTTCAAGATCTTCACCGCCTGATTATGCATCTGAGCTTTGGGCTCGAGCCGTTAAAGAAAAGCTGATGCGGCTTCAGAAAGATAGCACTGATGGATGTGCATCACCAACAAATGTTTGTGGACTATGAGGTCTTTAATTCTGATGCTATATATATGTATATATAGATAGATAGATACGCTAGTAATTACCTTGTAATTACTGATTATAATATATTTATAGGACTGATGATGTATGAACCCATGATTAATTTGGAGACTTTCGGACTTACAAACCATTCCTAATCAGGGTCTAACTTTTTTTTTGTGGAAGGCCAACCGCTGAATCTGACTGTTTGGTAAACAACATGATATACATCACATGTTCCATAGAAAAAACACAGCTCAGATGGATTCACCGTGAAATCCGCAATGGATGCATCCCCTTGGCATCCGGTGGCCTGGGGGCCCCAGGGGCCGTCGTTGGGGCCGTCGTTTGGGCTGCGGTGTGGGACCCAAACGACAGCCCCGTGCTGCGCTGTCCGGTCCGGTTTTCGGACGCGGAGGGCGAGGACTGACGGATGGCAGGTGCCCTGGCGGCGCCGTCATTGCAGGATGCTTTTTTTGTGTGAAGCCGTTGGATATCCAAAGAACGACATCAAATCATAGATGATGATTATTGAGGATTTAAATAATGATCATATACTATAGATATAATAAGTTAGCATTATTAGTAGTAATGATAGAAATATGAACATCGGTCATGGGTTTTGACCCATCTCCAGAGCTACCAGACACGATCCCTTTGCTACGAAAGCCACGGCCTGGATCCTACTGTCAGCCACAAAGAAAGTGGACTAAAGTGGATGGTTAAGATTATAACCAATAATGATATTAGTAACCTATAATACTGTGGATGATTTAAATCATAGACAATATATGATAATATTAGTAGTAACCTATAATAAACCCAAACAAAATCCGTGGTTGTTGGTGGTTCAGATTCGGATTCACCTTGCGAATAAGCATGGAGGTCAGCTCCTAGGAGGCCCATGGAGGCCCCCAAGATATCTCGATTCCCCATGGGTATACCGTACGTTTGCTGCTTAAATCTTTAAGCCATGTGGCCATGTCCACCGGTTGGATCCCCACCTGGTGCAGTTGGGATGGGTATTTTTACTATGGCCCAAGCCCCATAAGTTGGGAATGTAAGATAATCTCATCTATGAAAAAAAGGTGACCCACCATGGGATTGGATACAATGTGGTGCCCAGTGACATGATCTGACATGTTTGTGGAATTGATCCCCAACAAAACTATAAAGATACTCTCCAGAAACCCGTTACACCGCCATTTTCAGTTCTGAATCCCCCAGGGTCCCCAGCATTTTTCAGGTCGCGGCCCTCATCACAGCGGCATTCTCCACCAAGGGGAGGACGTACCAGCGATGTGTTCGGCGCAGCACCGAGCTGGATTTGTTGGATCAACAGGACCAACAGGGGCAACAGGGGGTTGAGGTGAGGCAGGTGAGGGGGAGGTGCTTGGACCCGTAGAACATAGGGATTTAAGATGATTTAAGTGTTCAAGATGGCATTTAATCATGCAAACCAAACTGTACAATACATGAATATACTACGTAGATACAGATTGATTTGTGCTGCTAATGAAATGACAGTTCCTCCTCATCAACTAGACACTGACAGCAAAACAGCAAAGCACGGCAGGGTTCGGATAACAATGACAACGGCAACATGACGGTGGTGGTGGTGGTGGTGGTGGTGGTGATGATGATGAGGAGGAGGAGGATGCGGATGGTAGCCATGTAGATCCAGTGGATGCGGTGATGTTTTTTTTCAGAAAATGAAATGGTAACCTTCTTATTATGCACGCGAGGAAAAACTACTGTAAATACACATCACATAAACACATTATGCAAACCAACTTAAACAACATCAACCAACCATGAATCGCCATTTTTTCTTGATCAACTCCCCATTTTTCTTGGTGAAATCAAGGTAAATCCCCATTTTATCCCTGCTTACTGACGCATCCCCAGATCCTCCAAGGACCCCGGGCGTTCCGCCCTTCGTGGAGAATGGGCCGTGCCCGGCACCGTGATCTTCGCCGCGGACACCGCGGAGAGCGGCGCGGTGCGCGTCACAGGCAGCGGCGCCAGCAGCGGCGGCCACTGGCGGCGCTTGCGCTTCAACGAGAGCACGGAGCAAAGCGCCGGGGGCCGAAAATCATGGATTTTGTTGGCGATCTTACCGTGATTTTATGGCGATTTATGGTGATGTTATCACTTTTTGTTTCAGACTTTTATGGATTTTATGGGACTTTAATGCCCTACAGTTTGCTGAGTTGGTTTATGCAACTAGTGCGGCTAGGTTTTATGGTTTTTAGGTAGACTTGAATATAACTATGTGGTTCATGTATGTTCATGTGGTATAAGGGGGTGCGCGGGTTATAAATTATAAATGAACTTCTAACTTATAACTGGGGGGCACCATCTTGCATCAGGACTGATGGGGATATACATACTACGGATAGTTAAATGGTTTTAAACATATACAGCATGTATAGAATTTGTATATATATATATACACATCATAGAACTGACAAGAATGGGAGTTTCAAACAGCCAGATTCAAATTTAAAGATCCCAAGATTTCGGGATTGAGGTGGGAGAGTTCACCAAAGCTATGCAAAAATGGGGTGGGTTGACTGTTGACTCATCAATTGGAGGTGTAATCTACGGAAGAAAGGCTTCAAAGCATAAAAAGATGGTGAATGGTAAGATTGGTAAGTGAATGGACGTGGATGGGGGATGGGCCTTTTGAGGGGACATGGATCTGGCCTTGTGGTGTTTTGTTTACTGGCCAATCAAGAAATGAACTGCCAAAACATTTCGGTGTGGTGAAGACACAACAATGATTGATTTCTTGGTTGCCATATGTATGAATATGATTTGATATGTGCATATATGTGCCATGGTCAAGCTACACTGTTGTCTGGTAAACAAAACAAACAGGGATGGTCATCCGGTCATAAATGAGCATTGGTATACCCAACATAAGGAACCCCATGCATGAACATACCCATCTTAATATATTTATCCCAGGTACCTTGACCATATCAAATCGTTTATCCCCACTATATCCCCCAGTATCCATGACACATATATTTTATTTCAGTGACTTGCCATTGCAGCAATCTGTCCATCCAGATGAGGGCGAAGGTCAGGTGTTGTTTGTGGATTTTTGATTGATTAAGATGAATCGACAATCTAGATACATTGTAGATGAATTAGAATGACCTCAAGTCGTCACAGGAATGATGGTTAGGATTTGGGAAAGCATTGTCCAAATGTGTTTAGTCCAGTTTTTAAAGGTTAGTGAACTATGTTATTCCCGCAATATATATATATATATGTATATATATATATATTTATGTATACATATATATATATACATACATACATATATATACATATAAATATGTATACATCTCATTATATGGTGTAACATGGTGTAACCAAACATTGGGCCGTGTTCCTAGTTGCCAAACATTGGGAAAGAATCGGATTCACGGGGCCGGCGTCCATGGTTTTTCCCCCTGGAAATCTCGGTGAAGCATCGGAAGGATGAGACTAAAAACAACTGATTTAATGGTTTTTAGCATGGAATAATGATGGGAAAATGATAGGGAAAATGATAGGGAAATGATGGTTAATGATGGTTAATGATGGTTACCCTAATGATTAATGGTGGTTAATGGTGATTTAATGGGATCTTAATGGTGATTAATGGTGATTAATGGTGACTAATGATGGTTAATGATGGTTACCCGGCCTGGTAAACGTTTACATAACTATGGAAAATCATCATGCTATTAATGGGAAAATCCACGATTTCTATGGTCATTTTCAATAGCTATGTTAAATTACCAGAGGGTAATGATGGTTAATGATGGTTAATGTTGGTTAATGATGGTTAATGAAGGTTGATAATGGTTAATAATCACTGGTTGATGGTGACTGGAACATGAATGGATTATGAATTTTATCTTCCATTTCATAATATTGCATCTATGGGATGTCATCGGAAACCCATTGACGAACTCATATATGTTTCAAGATGGGCACATTGCACCACCAACCAGAACTGCTTCGAATGCCAACTTTTGAAGTGGGGTCAATCAATGGGTGCCCCAAACTTGGGCAGATGAATCAGGGTGAACAACCAGTCCGCGATAAATGATAGCCACAAGGCGGGGAAATGAGTGGGGAAATGAGTCAATTGACCTAATTACCCAGTTATAACCCAGGCACAACATGGCACAACCCCCTTGTATCTGGGGTTATAAATGTCGAATATTTCGCATAAATTGACTTCCCTTGTACCACGCATTTCGACGGCCACAGGTGTTTTGTTGTTGGACGCGAACTTGCATCCGAGACATGAAGCACTTGCCTTCGGATATTTGACACTTGGACTACGTAGGTGCGTGAGAGCTGGTTACTCCTTGATGGCAGTCGCCCAAGACATGGGGTTTGCAAGATCATAGTCGAACTTGACATATTTTTTGCTTGGGTTTCCATACGTGTACCGTTGCAATCCCTTTGTGTTTGTGAGGAATCCATGTTTTTTTTTCAATGTGGATCTCCATACTTGCTGGTTAAGCTCCTCGTTTTTGTTCCATATTTGCCGCTTAAGCCCTGTGCTGTTGGCCGTATCCCCATTGTTCCATTGTTGATGGTTTTTGTCCATATATTGGTTGTTATTTTATACCCACTGTTCAATGTTTTACCCATTCTGATTTATTATCAGAAGCTTAAATCTGTATAAATCTGTCATGTTTATCATCTGCATTGACATAAAAATTGCTGTACCAATTGGGATGAATATCCTGAGGTTCCCTATGATATCGAGAATCCATTATTGTTATATATTTTTTATATAATACATAATGTGATCATTAATGGATTATATATAATATATCATTTATGGATTAATAAGATTGTAATATATAATGTGATCATTGTGTATTGTGTCTTAACTTATTCCCCGTTTATCATAGCCTAATTTTTGACAATGCCGGACTATCAAAATTTTGTCCCTGAAGATTCAGATTGATGACCTATTGTGACAACAAGGAATTTATGGATCATCTCTATAAATCATGAGAAAACATCTGAAGGAATTGCTAAGTTGTATCATAAAATGGCACTATATAAATCAATTAAACAACCCAAGAATATATCAGGAATGTCAAAATTCGCTCAATCTCTGAATGTTTCGAGGAAATCACTGGCTGCTGTGGGCTCTGCCACCTTGCGATGCCTGGGCACTGCCACGCCCTGGCGTGTACTGGTTGCTTGATCCTTCGGATGCGGCGGGTGGACCTGCTTGCTGTCATGTGGTAAAGCCAATAATTATCCATCCCCAGTCATGGTTGGTTTATATAGGTTTGTGGCATTTGGGTTGCGAATCAATTCAAATATGATCATATATGTATATTTTGATTTATGGAGGGATACTCAATAAATGAATGACACAGGCGCTTTGTTTCATTTGATTTCCAGACTTCAAACGCTGCAGCTGATGTGACTTGTGTCGCTACCAAATTATATAGCTCATCTTAATCGCTGGTGTTATAGCTGGCTTACCTCGTCACGATACTGTTGAGGCAACCCTTTAGTGCTTGTCGTTTGTTTATCAAACATGGCAATGCAAATCACATATACTGTTGATGTTTTGTTCTATTTACATGCACATTTACAGGGGATTCCCCATTGCCATGTTTGCTTACTGGAGAATAGTTTAATTTGAAGATCCAAGTTTACTAGCGTTCAATCTACATGTTGGTCGCGCTCATGTACGCACTGTTTAGCTTCATTTAGCTTCTATCTCTGCGTTGAATTATAATCCTCTTAAATGTGTTTTCACATTCAATTTTCAATCCCAAGCTTAGATAAGTTTAGCATAGCTTAGCATGATAATTATTCAGTTTAGCAAACAATAAATTCTATTCCTCAGAGAATTGCCATCCAAAAAATGGTGTGTTTTTACACCCAGCCATCCACTGGGCCATCCAGGGCCACGATTTGACAGGTGCTTGGCGTGGGTCTGGGTGCGTTGCCCGGGTGGTTCGCGAGCAAAGCCAAGGCCGGCTGGTTCATCTGGGTTCATTGGCTGCGGGCTATGGGAAGATTTGATGTCTTTACCATGGAAAATGATGGAAAATGATGGAAAATGATGGAACATGATGGAACATGATGGAACATGATGGAACATGATAGAAAATATTGGGGTTTCAAAATGTTTCAACCTTGAGATCTTCCCGATCTTCCGTTGAACACATCAGATTAAGGTGTTACTAAGCACCATTCACCATAATTTACAGGGGCTGAAATGGAACCCACCATGAACCACCACTTTTCACGAGCTTCCTCCCCATGAGTTTCCCCACAAGTAGCCCTTTTCAAGGCCTTGGTGCATGCCATCGACCTGGATCCACTGGTGCTGAAAGCTGCCGAGACGGTGGGTTTGATGCCACCCGCCCTGCATGGCACTGAGAGGTGAGCACCGTGGGCCCTGGGTCTCCGGCCTCCCCAAATGCTGGGAGCCCAGGAGCTGCCGTCTGGTTATGACTAACACTTCGCCATGGAGATGGCCCAGAGAAATAGATGGTTTACCGAACTTAAAAATGGTGATTTTCCATGGCTATGTTAAATAACCAGATGGTATTTTTTTTGGTTTATGTGTTGATAGTGTTTATGGTTTATGTTGAGCTAAATGTTGAGTCTGCAGTTGATGATGAGATTGATATGTGAATTGTTTCTTAGATCCTCCAGAACGCTGATGCACTGGGCGGTCAATGTCCCTCCTGTGATATCTCTCATTTTGACTGGTTTTAGACAAATAAAGAATATACTTGGCGGTTCACCAAATACTCGTATTAACCATTGGCAATTTATATCAATTGATAAACCATTTTTTATCATCCCTATTATTCCCCAGTATATCCCCTGCTATAGTTGTAGCTGGGGGTGTCCCCAGATGATTCAGATGATATGAAGTCATTTATATCACTATAATTCACTAGATGGATAAATAGGTGGATAGATAGATGATTCGATTAGATTAGATTAGATTAGATTAGATTAGATATCCCATGAGTTAGTTTTATCACTACATATATATATAATTATATATATATATATTATATACAATATATAATATATAAGTATGTAAATATATACTGTATAGAGTAGATTTATCCCATGAAATATCCCCATTGAATCACCATGAATCATCCCCTTGGCAGGTGCCTAGAGGACGGCGCCCAAGATGGGCCTGCGCTGCGCACCTACTGCTGTGATGGTGTGGAGTCACTGGGACGCTATTGGAACCGATTTATTGGAGGTACCGATTAAGGGTGGTGCCCCACAGTTAGCTAAGTTGGTCTATAATCGCCAGTAAGTATAGATATATCTACCATAAACCCAAGTTATTGGAGTTATAAACCAACATAGGGGGGGTATCACATTGTACCATATATAAGGACTATTTTTTTAGGGCTATGTAAGGGGATATACATCACATACCTCCAACATATGGCCCTATATGGTACAGTACTTCCAGTTTAGGTACTTGAAATGGCCATTTAATCAATGGCAAATTGATATTCAGAGAAGAAATTGATATGGAATCTAAATTTGGGTGTGAAAGATTGCGAATGGTTAGTTAGTTTGGGTTAAATGATGCGTGCTTTTGGCAGGGTTTGGCCATCAGGTGTGCATGGTGTTGGGGCCTGTCTGGAAGCAGTGGTCAATACATGTGGCTAACAAGCAGCAAATGAATGATTGTGCCCCTCAGAGGGGACTGTGCAGCAGCAAGGGTGGTAATCTCATTAAAGCACAGCAACATGGGTTTCATAGGTCCCAAACAAGGAAACATCTAAACGGTAAAACAATTTGCCTGGGCAAGGAGGTTTTGGGGTTAAAGTTCAAGGCTTGTGGATAGGGTTTGGGAGGTTCGGGCTTGAAGCTTCAGATGCTGTGCAAGCCATATTTACCAGCATGTTCTCAGTTTCTCTCAACTGATTTTCCAGATGTCGGGAACCATTGGTTTGTTCCATAGTTGATCGTTCTTTGTTGGTATACCAGTTACATACTGTGGTTTCACTCCGAAGACATGTGCATATATATATACACATACGATGCACAAACATGTATATACATGTATATACATGTATATACATACATAATCGTACATATGGACAACAAATTTGTAAAATCCTTTGTGTTTCCTAACTCCTATTTAGGTTTGGTCCAGAAATGCGGTATACCCTAAACATTGCAAGTTGAATATGCTGTTTGGGACAACCCATTTTCCAAAGCAATCCATTGACATCCGTACGATCCCAGAATCATGAAGAGCACATTTTACCATTGACATATGTTGAAGTCCTAGTTTTCATGGCTTCAAAAGGTGTCTTTAACATTTCCCGTTTCCAAACCCCAGTGTTGAATGTCTCCAGTCTTCTGGTGAAATCCCCGTCATCAAGGTATGTGGCCGCCTGTGCCAAGTCCACCAGCGGCTTGCCGCTCTACGATCTGATCGTCATGGACGTCTTTGATGGCGAAGGTGAAACACCGGAAGCCTTTCTGACGGAAGACTTTGGTACCTTGGTCGCCATGGATGTCTCATGGGATTTTGCATGGGATTTCACAATAAACGTGTTGGATGTTATTATGGAATATAGGATTTTATTGGCGCATCTTTCAGTGTGTATACAAAATCATTAGCTGCAGATCCAAAAAGCTGCAGAGTATTGGCCATAGGAGTTTCCCACAGAAAATACGATTCAACCAATATATACCTCTTCTGATTTGACTAATAAAAGATAGGATGATATAGGATGTAACCATAAACTATAGATTTTACCTGGGATTTCTTTGGGATTGACCCCCTTAAAAGATTTCTGATGGTCATTAAAAAACATGGGATTTTGGGACTCGGATAGGCTGATTCTAGTCATTTCATCATGACCAGCATTGTTGTGTAATCACCAACGTAAACGAATCGTCAATGTTGTGGCAACTTTTTTCAGGTATCCCTATTTTTCAGTACTATTTATCATTATTTATCATTGTATTGATAATCTATTGATTTATCACTGTTATTCTTATTCTTATTCAGCTGTTGATTGTAGAGGATACAGGACCTTTCTTGCCGTTCAGGAGCTGTTCTTGCTGGGATGAGTTGCCTGAAAATGTTCATCCTCCAAGGGATTCGAAAACAAATGGGGCTGAAGGTGAAGCGATGAGAATGTCGAAGAGCGAGTCACTTTAGTATACTTTAGTCACTTTGCCCCATTACTGTTGCTTCAACTCTTCCTTAAGAATTGATTCCATTGGCATGATTTTGTTGGGTAAATCGAACAAATTGTGATTTGTGGCAGTGAAAATCACCGTGTGTTTGCTGATAATCACCATTTCAAATGGTCGCATCCCAGTTTTTGGTGGGTAAACAGATTCAACTTGTGAATTTTGCCTTGCAAACACTGGAGATCAAAGACGATGGCAACCATTTTGGTGTGACTAACTTCACCCAGAGAAATTTCAAACATGAAGTGGCTGGCTTATCCCACTAACGGATACAAATGGGGTGCACCTATGGTTACTCACCACTTTCGGTTGGTGTGAACCCCCAAGATTCAGGTCGTTCCTGCGCTGCCATTGCCAGCAGTTGTGTGGTCAACTTGACATGCCCCGCAGCTTGGTTTTTATTGATATGAATGGAGAACATGGATGGGGATATAATCAACATTAATATATATATACACATTAATCACAGATATCCAATTTGGGTTTTGTCTAAGAACAGGGGACCCCTCATTTTGTCTCAAAGGAGGACCCTCATTTTGTCTCAAAGTGGGGGACCCCTCATTTCTGGCACATTTGACAGGGAAAAGAATGTTCTTATGGACTTTTGAGGGGTTCCCAGTTTTGAGACAAAACCATATCTCAATACAGCGGTTCTCAGGAATGATAACTTTCCAATCCACCACTACTGTCATCCCGCACCCAAAATTCAATGGCCATTCCGCGAAGCGTCCAAATTTTCTTTGGCGCCCAGCTGATTTTGAGTCGCTTTCATCTGGACTCATATTTTTGTTGATGGGATGACTTGATCACCTTGATGCAGTTGAAACCTGCCTCCCTGACCATGTCCAAGACTCCAAGCCAACTGTTTTTCGGATGATTGTTCCCTCAACAAGGTTAGATAATATTAGATAGCTGGAACATGCATATTTGAGGAATCAGGGACCCGCCCACCATCATTATATATATATATATATATTGTATATACACTGTATAATATTCTGTTATATAATTATATATACACATCTGTCCACCAAGCAACCATCCATCCATCCATCCATCCATCCATCCATCCATTTTTTAGGATCATCTAGCAATCCATACAAGCATACACACACATTATCATATGAATCGATACAGTACACCGCTTCTCATGCATCGAGTCATCACTTTTCTGATGCGATGCGGTGATGCCTGAGGTGAACACTGCTATAGGGGGCCATCTATACCAACAGATTGAGGTTTGAATTCCCATGGTTATAGCGATAAAAGTCACCTCAACTGCACCAACATATCCACTATTTAGTATGGAATATCTTGCATTAATCATTATATATATATATAATATATATATATATATATCAAATGATAAAGATAACCCATTTCGAAGCATGGTGATATTTTCTTGTAGGGTTTATAATTTATCCATGGCTATAGCAAATTCTAAGCACATTCAGCAGGGTTTTCTGCCGATTCAGGTGCCAATGTGGGAAGATGCTCACGCCTTCAACGCGCCCAGCGCCGGGCGCTTGGCGGAGGCCTTTCGCAGCGGCTTCCAGTCCCAGGCACCCCTGGGAACGTTTTTTTGGCTATGGAAAATCATGGAAAATCACAATGTTTAATAGGTAAATCATCAGACATGATCTATTTCTATGGTCCATCTTAGCTATGTTAAAGAACCAGAGGGTTTGGATTTTAAGTTTTAAGATCCAAAGTTTTGATAAACATCTGATTGAACCATCAAACGGTTTGGGTCTTCAACAGGAAACATGTAGATTTAACCATGAACAATGAGGTTTTCAGCAGAAATAAGATTCAACGTGATCTAGCAATTGGAAAACATAAACCACGTGATTTTCACATGGTAAACATGAGGACGTTAGGATGAACAAGCAGTCGTTTTTACCTGGTAAACACAATAAACGGAGGTTTGATGCTGTTCACCCATGTCCAGAGAAACGACATGAAAGGACTGAAAAAAAGTGCTGAGCTGGACACCCCGCAAAGCCCTCAAAGGTTTTCTAGAATCATCCTTTGTTGATGCAATGTTTAGATCATGTTTCAAGGTTTGACCCATACGTAGCCATACAGCAAATGCGCCCCAAAACTGTTATTATATACAGAAGTTTGGAACATGATGTTCAAAACCAATGGTGTTCATCTTCCTCAAATAAATCCATTGTTCAGGGAACGATTCAGAAATTTCAATTCCATATTTCATTATCTGAAAGTTGGTATTGCAAATAGTTCATTTGCAGTTGCAATCTTCATCCAGATATTCTACAGGATGGTGCCCCTCAGTTGTAAGTTGGTTTATAACCCCATCCAAAGAGAATTTTAAGATGGTGTCCCCAATCACTAATTATCTCTAACTAAAAAGGGTGATACTTAAACCCAAAAAACACCATTTTTAGTATAGTTATGAACCATTAGTATAAAGTATCACCCATTAGTGTTGTTATAAACCATTAGTGTTGTTATAAACCAACTTAGCTAACGAACTGGGGCCCCATCCATCGTCCATTTGGCCGCGAACTTCGTTCAGGCGTGGAGCGTTCGTGTGGCGGAAGGTCAGCACCTTGCCGCAGCCAGGGTCAGGCCGCAAGGGGTCCAAAGCATTTTGGACAAGCCATAGAACTATCATGTTGGTTGCCTAAGTATCGCAGTATAACAAGAATAATGAATAATAATAATAATTAATAGTAATAATTCTTATGATCATATTATTAATACTAATAATGATATTTAAAATGGTTGTATAATGATGATAACAGTAGTCATAATACATTGAACCGCCTTCGGCGTGTTCCGCCGGCCACCATGGAAAGAGCTATCCTGTAAGCCGCAAACAGCCCTTGCACAGGCCCAGCAAGAACATTGCTTTTGTGTAAAACATGGTGTTTGTGCATAAGACGTTTTTTGTGTCAAACAGCTCTTTGTGTAAAGACGGTTTTGACAAAGCATTGTTTTTGTTCAAGCCACGGTTTAAGTTTAAACCAAATCATGTGTGTAAACCAGGGTTTCGGAAAAGGCCATATTGAGAAATGCTTTGGAAAAGGTAATATTAAGAAAGGTTATGCGTGTAAAGGTGTTCGGTACAAATGCCAGTGGATCAAGCATTGGATATAAGAAGCGACGGAGCAAACCGATGTCAAACAAATCAAAAAACGGAAACAACCATCGAAATGACAGCAAGATGTGCAAAACCAAGCCGGTGTTGAGGGTTGGTGGGTTCAAGTTGGACGAGGCAAAAATCCGCGCCAAGGGGAAAGTCTAGACAAAGACAAAACAGACAGTACAACTACGAACAAGCAAGATCCACAAGACACGCCGGCAGGCCGGCGGATTACTTTATATCCCAGTTAGTTATATCTTCATAAAAGATAAATTGGTTTTGACATACCCTAAATAAATAGAATCCATGTCTTTGGTTAAATCCCATGTCTGATGTCCACATTCAATTACCCTCTGGTAAACTAACATAGCTTCGGAAAATGGCCCATAGAAACAGTTGATTTACCTTTCAACATCGTGATTTTCCATTTCTATGTAAACGTTTACCAAAGGGTAAATCCACCAATTCTACCAATTTATGCCTCGCTTCCGATCTCAGGAATTTGATCATGGCCGCCACACGCATGGGTGCTCCCCCAGATGCCTGGCAGCAGTGGCAGCACTTGAAGAATTCAATGTGTTGATTTACATGGAAAACGATATTAACGAGAATGTTAACCAGCTAAAGCTTAACATGCAGGGTAATTAATTATCCAAGATATTCCAAGATTGGCCATTTTTCTGAGAGATGGGCATGGTAGAAAGAAAACAAAGTGATGAGAACCAAGAAGATCGTGGCGCTGAGTTGACTTACGATGCTTCTTGTATTTGGTGTTTCTACCTTGGATGGCATCATTTTTTTTAGGGATACTATGGGATACTTCCAGATTGTTGGTGTTAAAGTTGATGATACCCGGCCTGGTTATGTCTAACATAGCGAACTGGAAAATCACCATTTTTAATGGGAAAACTCACTATAAATGGCCATTTTCAATAGCTACGTTAAATTACCAGAGGGTAAAGTTTATGATAGTCTCCCAGTTCAATGGAATGCTGCCCAGGAAAAGTACCTCAAAGAGGCATCTCTGGAGTTGGCCAAGGCCAGGAACGGCGATGCCACGAGCCTTTTTGTTGCCACGTGATCGAGTGCCGTCTGAGTCTGTTAATAGCTTGGATGCGCCACCAAATAGCCAATGTTTATATATATATATGTATATATATATGTATATATATACATATACATATGTATATATATATATATATGTATGTATATATGTATGTTAATATGGATGGAAGGGGATATAACATTAAAACAAACTGTTTCCAATTGTTGGGTGTGTCTAAAACCGAGTTGTATACCAACAGAATTGGGGATATAATGCGGTATATAGCTTGGATATAACATGATATAACCAATCATTAAAGAAAACATTGTGCAACAATGAGGGACACGGTCCCCAGAAGTGCAATATTAATGGGATCATCTTCAAAACAGATTACTTGTGGCATCTTGTGGCGATGTTTCTTCATTTCTTGGGATGGAAACCGATTCTCAGCTTCGATTCCAATTTTCCGGTGAGTCAAAAACTTGTTGAACGAAGGGCCCTCCAGGATGCATTGGACATGTGTTTCAAGGACAAAAAAACATGTTCCAAAAACAGTCAATACCCTCTGGTAAACTAACATAGCTATGGAAAATCACTATTTTTAATGGGTAAATCCACTATAAATGGCAATTTTCAATAGCTTACCAGAGGGTACCCATTCTGTCTGTGTAAAAATTGGAACCCCAGACACTCTCCAGACATCGAAATAATCGCCACTGGACGCTTCCTCCACCAAAAACCCTTCTGAATTGGTCACGTTTTTTGCGGAGGAAGAGATCTTTGCTTTCGATCCCGTACGGCGTGTGAGCTTCCGACGACAAGACTGGTGAGCCCACCTGCGGAGCAAAAAAGTGGCAGCTGGCTGATCATGTGCATGGATCATGTGCATGTTTGATGTGGCTTTGTCTGAAAATAAGGCACCTCAAAAATCCAATGGTTTATTATCATGTTCCTCTTTAAAGGATTTTATAAGGACTATGTTACATTTCTGTTGGGGTATGTTGGGGTATACCCCATTTTCAGACAGAGCCATGTTGTCAAAGATCACCCGTTCTTTTGGTTCCTTCATCCCTCCCCACTATCCAGGGATTGCCAAAATTAAGTGGTTAAGATTGGTCAATCATCATTGTCCCACATTGTCCCTATTAGATCCTATTAGAATGACCATAATAGGGTCTAGTCCATCTTTGGAGAAACCTGCATGTGCAGATGGTGAAGTCTGATCGACATGTTTGTTTTTTTTGTTTGTTTTTGAAATGTTTTGCTGGGTAGGGCCCAGTTTAGCTATTGGTTTATCCAACCAAAGATGCTACATTTGTCAGTCATAAATAGACATGAACATGAGAAAGCGCACCATATGGTAATATGTTCATATGCCTATTATATTATATTTAATATACGTTTAATACATATATATATATATATATACATACATTACTTAATATTACTTACAATATACATGTATTAATTAACATATATATATATATATGATATATATATAATAATAATTAAAAATATATATACACACGCACCAGTCTTCCATCTATTGATTCTATACACAGATCCTCCGTTGGTGCCCTGATCCTGAGGCCTCCAGACCTCAATCCTGATGGACGCTCCTGTCTTGGATCTGGTGGAAGAAGCTGATCGCAGCACCCTACAGGCCACGCACGGCCCGTTTCGGTGTGCCCTGTTGGAGGACGACTTTTGTTTCGGAGATGATATGATTTTTCATTGATAATCCATAAACTTTGTTTTTTGTTGTTCTCAACTTCTCAACCAACCAGGATTAAAGGTTATATAATGGAAGTACATTTCATATTTCGGATTTTGACTGCTCAACTGCTGGTGGCAAGTGAGTGAGCTATCCCCAGAACTTGGTATATTTTGTGAGTTACTTCACCTAGTTACGATCACCAGTCAACCAGTTCCATAGCCCATATATGGGATCTTTTCTGGCCACTTAATGGCTTACACATAAGCATGGTCTAATGTATACTGCGCACCCCCACTTGTGTGTTGGCTGGTGACCTAATTGATTTTAATGGATTGTGTTGTTTCCTTTTTCTTTGGAATTTAGATTCCCATGGTCTTGCCCATTAATTGCATGGTTTTCCTGTAAATTGTCCTTCCAACAAATTCTGTGTGAACTAGCCAATGAAATGTGCCGGGTTATATGCATTTTACATTATATGAATGATGTTATTATATATATATATACATACATCATCTGGGACTTTAACCAGGGACTCTGCTGTTGGAATTACTATACCAATGAGTAATCAGTCTGCGGCCCATCTAATCTAAGAGTAGCTCAACATTATTGAACATCATTGAACATCAAACATTGATATTTCTTTCCTGTGCATAGACATATATGATACATATCGACGTCACTAAGTTGGCGTGTCCATTGGTACCTCACAGGAATGACTTGAGCCAAATAGCCTTGTGGATACACAGATTCAAGCTGGCACCAGCTCCAATGGGTAATCAAACGTGGCTGGAATGGGGTTTTGGATAGACCCAACTGTATTCTGGTGCTTCTAAGGGATGATTTCAAACCACAACACAGAAAATCCATGAAGTTTTTGGTTTAATCTGTTTCTGTTTATGCAGTATGACTAATCCTCTCATCTGGTAAAAACCTTGCTTCATGGTACCCTCTGGTAAACTAACATAACTATGGAAAATCACCATTTTTAATAGGTACATCAACTATAAATGACACTTTTCAATAGCTAACTGTTAGTTTACCAGAGGGTAGATCAATGGTTTTCATTCTCAGCTTAAAGTCATCGGCTATCCACGTCGAAGTCCACAAACGTCGAAGTCATCGGATCCCCGGCGGCGTCTCGGTTGGATGCTAGCCATAGTATGACCTCCTTTAGTGGTTAATAGTGGTTAATAGTGGTGAATGGATGGTGAATAATTGACAATAATGGTTATAATAATGGTTAATGATATGTTACCCTCTGGTAAACGAACAGTTTGCTATTGAAAATGGTCATTTAGTTCGTTGATATACCCAGCTAGAACATGGTGATTTTCCATAGTTATGTGAAAGTTTACCAGAGGGTAAACTTCCAAGTCATATGTTCTGATATGTACATGTACATTGTACATATACCTAGACACTCAATTTGTCAGCATTAGAGTCCCTTAGCCCTTGGTCTTGACCTCAGCAAAATAAAAGTTTCTGGGTACTTAACTAAAATCCTCCCTCGGTCCACTCCTTGGGCCAGGCTCGCAAAGTACGGCGACGTGAAGGTGGGGGATTTGCCAGAAGGTGAATATTTTTTTTCAGGCGGTGCTCCAGACTTAGCGGAGCTAAGTTGGGTTGTATCCACAATAACTGTTGAGATTTTTGGAGATATGGTAATATATCATCCATAGCTTTTCATAGGATGGGTGATAAACCAACTAACATTTCACTGGGGCAGGGGGCCACCGGGCCACCTTGTGAATATCTACTCAATGTTCACCTCAACGTATAGGGATGAAGAATGAAAGGGCTCCCTATACTTCATCAACAGGAACAGGTTATTAATCCAGGGCAAAATGATCTTGTCAACAACAATATTGGTGGGGGCTACGGGCTAAGATTCTAGAGTAACACACGCACACACACAGATTCATACCAACCATTTGCAGAATGATTTTGATATCTCGAGATATCTCAAGAGAAGCATGGTTATTCAATTCTAACCATGCTACCACATTGCAAATCATGCTTAGACTTCTAGTCACATTTATTCAAACATGTTCATTGATTGTAGAAAAAGACAAAGCACACTTTAGATATCCTTTGAAATCCTTTTATGTGATTGTAGACCCTTACATTATATTTATGTACATAAGTGTAAATTAACTAAGTAAACATATTTATAAATGGATGCTGTATTCGCACATTATATTAATATACTATAATATACATATATATATATATATCGACAGATTTATGTACTTATTCATTAGTTTATATATACTATATCCCGCAAAATTGGTATGGATCATTATTGGTGACCTGGGAGACCGCTGATTTATGCATTCCTTCGACTCTTGTCCGATTGGTTCCTCACATTCGCAGCCTTTGTTTCGGGCTTTCATCCAAGGTCGACCGAGGAAAGATTCAACCTGTGAGTTCATCATCAATAGGTGGCACTCATTTTAAATTTTAATAGCAATTTTATCATCATTGATCGCTCTTTGAGGGCGTAATGGGCGTAACCCCCCAATCAATACGTAGTCAGAACCTACAAAACCCCTAGGTTCACAGTGATCACTGACGGCAGGCATCAGCGTGACCAGCAAACTGGACGAATTGGAAGGTGTCTTTCCGGTCTGCACTGAATTTCCAGCCAGATGTGATAGAACCAGAGGAACATTGCATTTTATCCAACAAATATGGGGATATAAACAGTCATAGGGGACCATACAGGGACTGCTTGAATCAACTGATATCAGATCTCACCTGGTATGTATCATAGCTGGGAAACCTTTCATAGCTTCCAAGCCCTGGTGAGATGATCCCAATAATTGACATTTTATGATCTACGTCAGCCTGCAAGGTATGATTTATTTACCCTTTATGGGAAAGAAATGATGCGGTTTCAATAACTGATTATATAGTCCTTATTTTGCTAAGTTGGTTTGTAAAGTCAACGATAGCTTGATAATGGCTCATGGATGTTCATGGTAGGTATATGGACATTGTTCACTGGGCTGGTAAACCAAGAGCCATATATCCAAAGTACTCTCTAGTTGCGTGTGTATGTATATATATATATATACATACGACATGTATACGATCATTGACGTTCATTTATTCTAAATTAAAGAGTTACTAATTATGATATGGTATGATAGTCTGTAGGTATATATATATATGTATAGTAAGCCATAGTTAGTAGTTGTAATCAACACAGCTTGCGCTGGGCCAGGCGAGCCCGCGGCCTTTCGCTCGTCACGGTCCTTTGCAGGGACACCCGGTGAGTGACGAAAGGGTAAAATATGAGTGGGATATCAATGGATTATCAATGGGATATTAGTGGATATAAATGGAGCATTACTATTATCAATGAATATAAACTGATTGGTATGCATGGCATATATGAATGGAGTATCAATGGAATATGAATGGAATGCGGATGGAATATCAATGGAAGATTGAGGTATTTATTGAATATTGATGGGATATCAATGGATATACCCTCTGGAATCAAACGTGGCCATTGAAATCCCCTGTATTTCTGGAGGTTTAAATTTGGGAAAATCATCGAACTAACTCGACGGTGGCTTCCATCTTAACAGGTATTCTTCCCTATGGATCCGAATGCCTGCCCAGATAGTACTTGACTTTCCAAATTATACCCAAGTCACTTTCTCAGAGTAGAACACATATTATCCTTGAATACTAACATGCGTGGCAATTTTCTTTTTAGCAGCTTCGTGTTATGTGATTTGTAAACCAAGACGTGGGAACCCCCCGAAAAGATAGAAGTTGATAGCTGGTCACATCTTAATTATCATGTCACATGTGTAATTTAGTGTAATTTTAGTGTGTGTGTGTATAATGATATATGTAAAAACTTATACACATCTTACTAAACACCATTAAATCATATTAAATCATCATTTTGGTTGCTTAGATATCTTAGATTCCCAGAATTTCCCAGATGTCCTCCATTTGTTCCAACGGCTTGGCCGCCGCAACGCATGTGCCCGGCGAACGCAGGCCATGATGCTGCCCAACTGCGTCCAGGTGATTCGATTGAACTTTAAGGCGCCGTGCTTCGAAGCATGGAACATCCCCTATGAATGGTTTATTTTATGGCTGTTGTCTATGTATTATGCATATATATATAACTATAATATACATATAATATATTTATACTATATATCATATATATATGTATATAATTGTATATATATATTGTGTGTGTATATCAGTAAAGAATGGTTTCCAGTAAAGTTTCCCTTGACATATGTTCGTTTTTACCTTTATCCAACAAATTACCCTCCATTAGACCACTGTGGTATGAAAGACCCGCTGTGTGTAGATCAGGCAAAATCACCTGGGGAAATCATGGATCTGTCATCTTCGTGACCTGAAACCATCTAGTTTTGTTGTATGGCGGCGGATCAGGTTTACAAAGTTTACCCCAAATTTGAGTATGTCGTTTCATACATGATTATTTCATACTATATCCATAAATTCCAGCAACCCTCATCCCATTGAACTTTGTAATGTGGTCCCAATAAACCATCCCAGTATAACTCAGAAACATCATTTCGGGTTCATTTTTGATTAATAATCCCATTAAATAGAAGATATTGAATAGCATATTATACCCAATAACAAAAAACAAATTCACATGGTTCATTATTGTATATATAATGTATATGACATTGGGTACCCTATATTATATGACATTGGTATATGGTGTATATATACATATATATATAACATAAATGACATTATTGGTTTTACCACATTATGTTATTAAAATTGGTACCCATGTCTGTTTTTCATGGCTCACACCATGCCGCCTCGAAGCGTCACCGTTTCCCTCGACGTTACCGCCTTGCGCAGTCCGTTGCGACCCAGCGCGCACCGCTGTCGGCCACGGAGTGCTGCACGCAGCTAGCGCAGCTGTCGCAGGTAGGGTTGGTAGATGGGTTTGGCGTATGGGGCATCCCAAAATAGCCGAGTCGCCTTATAATAAGTGGCTGAATTCTATGGTTTATGGGTTTATGGTAGAAATAGCTATAGTTAATGGGGGTTATAAACCAAGCTGTAGTTTATCATCCACTCTTCCCAGAATCTTTGTAACTACTTTTGGAGTGTACTACCCCATTTCCAGACACATCCAAGTGTCATAATCTTGCACATCACCCAATTATTAAAGATACCATTTGCTTATTCAACATAGCCATGGAAAATCACCATTTTTAATAGGTAAACCATCTATAAATGGGCAATTTTCCATGGCTATGTTAAATAACTAAAGGGTATAATTTCATATCATAAACTTGCAACATTTACCAAACTGTGTTGATGAGGACGGTATTTCAAGGCCAACCATATGACCAAACTGGGTATTTGTTACTGGAAAATCACCATTTTCATGGGCCATGGCTTCCACAGCTATGTGAAATCATCCCCAGGTTATTAATCGTATGCTAATCATATCCTATGGATCCAATCCAATCCCTACTAATCATTACCCCATGGATTCACACTACTATTCCCTGAGGATCCAATCATATCCTGGCATTACATGGCATTTCAAGGCCAATATCATGACAAGGACAATATTGGAATCCCCTGACAACAGGATTGATTTTCTAGAGAACACTAGGGAATGATAGTCTATATACATGGTGTATCAGTTAACAATATACTGATTGTTGTACTCTATCACTAATTATATAGAGTCGTTTTTATCATTATCATTATCAGCTGGTTGGTGGTTTGGAACATTTGTTCCATATATTGGGAATAATAATCCCAACTGACTAATACAGGGGTTGAAACCCCCAACCAGTCAGGTATTGATGTGAATGATGATAACACGGACGCACGGACGATAACGATAATGATTTTAATCTGTGATATTGATCGGTTTGTTCTTTATTATATTGGTGTACCCTCACCAAGATTAATGGACCGCACATGATTTAATATAATAAGGATGCTTTGTTGTTGTTGTTGTTGATCTCACATTGTTTGTATATATATATTATATATAGGATGTATGATTTTCTGTATATGTATTTATGTATATATATATATATTAATACATACATATATATATATATACATATGTATAATGTATATATCTAGTTTTCCATTTGACATACCTATAGCCTAACCAAGATAAGGCTGTTTGCCTTTTCACCAGCATCCGGGTCTAAGCAAAACAACTTGGTAAGTTACCTAACAAGTACTGCCCTGCTGCCAGACCAAGACGTATTTCCTGGGCTGCAAACCCACTATCCAGTTGGCAAAAAAAACTACGCTGATCCTTCAGATAGCATATGGTTATTTAACATAGGCATGGAAAATCATGGAAAATCACCATTTTTTATAGGTAAACCATCTATAAATGGGCCATCTATACCATGGCTATGTTAGTCATAACCAGAGGGGGTAACAGCAGTGCGTTCGATCGTGGATTCTGCAGGTGAATGGCTCCACACCTGTGCAGGCTGGGAGCGTTTCCACACGATTGTGGTACCAATTTTGGTGGTTAAAGAAACACAAAAACACCTTACCTTGATACCCTGGTTGGCATATTTACCAAGATTTACCATCATTTACCTCTAAAAATGACCGGTTCTGTAGGATGGTGAATATATTGTATACACAAGGTATAGGAGTTTGGGTTTGATCGTTTTCCCGATTTTTTTTGAATGTTTTCTTGGGGTGTTCTTGTTGTTTATTCGAATTTATTGGCACCTTGGTGCTGCTTGACATAAGTTTTCTCGACCTCTAATTCCAAAATCATGCCCAAGAACAAGCCTCCAATTTCGCATGGTTGACACACCAGCCATATTTGGCAAGATTGTGGATCGTCTCATGCTCGGTATAGCATTTGATGTCGTCTCATATAGTCTCCAAACAGTATTCCTTGAGGGGAATCTTTTCTTTTCAGCACCTGTTCTGATTTGAGACCACTCAGACGTTCTTTGGATCCCAATTTGAGACCAACTCTCAGACGATGCAAGTTGTTTATGCTTGAATCACTCCACGCCACCAGAACATACCAGGATGAAGTTACCCGAAATGGTGATGAGTGGGACATATTGCCTACTTCCCATGTAACATGCCATTGTTACTAATCGTCTACCCCTCCTATCAAAAAAATAGTCCCCAACATGCCCCACAATCGTATCGTAGTAGTATTAGTAGATATTAGTAGTACTAGTAGCAGTAGCAGTAGCACTACAGCCCGAGAGTTGGTTAAGAATCCGAAAGCTTGAGGCCCAGGCCCAGGCACATTTCCACCACAATAGGTCGAGGGTCCCTCAAATTCTTAGGGTATTCTTAGTTATGTATTGTTTGCATCTGCGAAATTTGGAGCTAGCTAAAGCGAGGTAACGAGGTGGAGTTGGCAGATTTAACAAAAGGCATGCGAAAAATCAAATTTTTAGAGCCTGATTTTTTTTTTTGCAAAGCCGGGCTTGTCCGAGTTTCACAAGAGCAGTGCCGAAAAAAACAATTTTTCAGGACGCGAACAAATTGTTTTTTTTTCGCAGTGCCTGGCTTGACCCGCGAGCAGCAGCAGCAGCAGGAGGAGGAGTAGCAGTAGTAGTAGTAGATAGTAGTAGTAGAAGTAGAGGTAGACGTAGACGCAGACGTAGAAGTAGAAGTATAAGTAGTAGTAGTAGTAGTAGTAGTAGGAGTAGGAGTAGGAGTAGGAGTAGTAGTAGCAGCAGCAGCAGCAGTAGCATAGTAGCAGTAGTAGTAGTAGTAGGAGTAGTTGTAGTAGCAGCAGCAGCAGCATAGTAGTAGTAGTAGTAGTAGTAGTAGTAGTAGTAGTAGGAGTAGTAGGAGTAGTAGGAGTAGTAGCAGTAGTAGCAGTAGTAGCAGTAGTAGCAGTAGTAGCAGTAACTTTGTAGTAACTTTGTAGTAACTTTGTAGTAACTTTGTAGTAACTTTGTAGTAACTTTGTAGTAACTTTGTAGTAACTTTGTAGTAACTTTGTAGTAACTTTGTAGTAACTTAGTAGTAACTTAGTAGTAACTTAGTAGTAACTTAGCAGTAACTTAGCAGTAACTTAGCAGTAACTTGGTAGTAGCTTAGTAGTAGCTTAGTAGTAGCTTAGTAGTAGCTTAGTAGTAGCTTAGTAGTAGCTTAGTAGTAGCTTAGTAGTAGCTTAGTAGTAGCTTAGTAGTAGCTTAGTAGTAGCTTAGTAGTAGCTTAGTAGTAGCTTAGTAGTAGTAGTAGTAGTAGTAGCAGTAGTAGTAGTAGCAGCAGCAGCAGTAGTAGCGTAGTAGGAGTAGGAGTAGGAGTAGGAGTAGGAGTAGTGGGAGTAGTGGTAGTAGTGGTAGTAGTGGTAGTAGTGGTAGTAGTGGTAGTAGTGGTAGTAGTGGTAGTAGTGGTAGTAGTGGTAGTAGTAGTAGGAGTAGTAGGAGTAGTAGGAGTAGTAGGAGTAGTAGGAGTAGTAGGAGTAGTAGGAGTAGTAGGAGTAGTAGGAGTAGTAGGAGTAGTAGGAGTAGTAGGAGGAGTAGTAGTAGTAGTACTACTAATACTAGTTTTCTACTGCTCTAGTACTCTAGTGCTCTAGCGCTCTAGTGCTCTACTACTCTAGTACTCTAGTACTGCAAGAACTTTTGTATTCTTGTGCTAGAATTAGGGGGGCGAGGGGAGGTGCGGGGGTGGACACGATTCAGACGAAGCAAAAAGGCGTAGCAAGGGAACAACAAAAACAAGTACAAGCCGAGAACAAAACAGGCACAACTCCTTTCAATCAGACACGCCGGCATGCCAGCATATTTTGAGTTAGATTTTGTATCACTCATACATTGTTAGATATTAAATAAGTTGAGATAAGTTCAGTTTACCAACTAAAGTCCATTTATATAATCCTAGGTGGGTGTGCGTGTTTTTGTTTTTTTTCAATATGTTTGATGATTGCTCCAGGTGCTTCCAGTGTATTTTTTTCCAGTAAACAAGTGCTGCAAACGCACCATCGCCACCGAACGAGGCCCGTTGGAGTTTCGATGACGTTGGCGTGCCGAGCTTTGAGGCACCATTGCAACTGTTGGTGGTTTAAGAGGAAAAAAGCATTCACTACGGAACTATTATGGGTAATAGTTGGGAAATTAATGGAACTAATTGGATGTATGCATGTGTATATATATATGGTTATATATATATAATTATACATAATCGGACATATTATGGACAAATTTAGAAAATGTCTGCAAGTTATGGATTAATTAACATTCCTTATGGATCCAAATATATACCTATCTTTATTTGAGAGGTGAAGTGAAAACTGAGACCTGGATTGATGAGCTATGGATACTTTTTGAAATTATGGATTCATAATTGGTGGGATTTTCCCAGCGACTCAATTGGGGATAGGTTTTTTGCTGGTAGATTTTCATAACTTTTCTTGACTGGGCATTCCCAACTGCTGGAATAGAAACTTCAGAAACTCCCTTTTTTGTTGCAACAAATCTTTGTATACGGTTGGTGGCCTAAGGGTCCTCGTTTGGAGATGTTCAAGTCTAGGTTCATAATCCGACGAGCGGACTTTTAGAGTTGAAATCATCAATCAGACAACGTCTGGGGGTGAAAGCATACCTCCTGATTTGAGTGGATCAATTGAGGGCTTGCTGAGGATTGAGCAATCCCCAAAAGTGTATGTGGGAGTCGTGCGAGCTTAGCGGTTGGATAATGATGATGTCTTGGTGACAATTTCTGATGCTTCTCCTGAAACCATAGTGCCTACACAACCGGCTGGCCTCTACTGAGCGGAATGACAGCCGCAACTGTGGACAATGTCCAACGACTATATCGGAGTCTGATCAATAGTTCCCCAACCCTTGAATCATTGCCTCGGATGTTCAGTTTGCAGCAATATCCGTCGGGAGATTCTGTCGTTATGCACCTGGCATTTGCTGCCGCTGCCTTGGTTGTGAGCATGTATGAGTTAGGTGCAGGTTCCAATCCTGGCTTGGCAAGATCGGCAACTGCTGATGGGCCAGTGTTGATCCGGCGGGCCCAATGCTGCGGCTTGGCGGAGCGGATTTTCTTGTGTTTTTATTTAGTGGGGCACCACAAGCCAGCGGGGAGGGCAGCAATGACGTTTCCGGAGCTGACCCTGAGATTTGCTGGTGGAGGTTGTGCCGGTGGACCATGGCTACTGCTTTGAGTCGGTTAACCAACCGACCGACCGACCAACCAAACAACCAGCCAGCCTGATTTTCAGAAATCGTAACATTGTAGCATTGCGTTTACGATAAGATTTGATACGGTGGGTCGTGAGCAAAAAACAACCATTGCACCCGTGTTTCTTTTTGACGTAATTTTTGGCCCATACCAGCATCTGCAGCGCCAACCTATCAACAACCCACAGTTGATAAGTATGGTGAGTATCATGTGTACTAGAAGCACAGCAGCATCATGATTTTGATCCTCAAAGACAATATTGGGCGGTTATGATCGTTGATGTTTATCCAAGCGGTTGGCATTCTGCGAACCATGAAAGAATGTACATGATGACATGGATTTAACATATCAATCATTAATCCCATCCCTTGTCCATATTTTATAAACACCCCCATTGTATGGTCCCAAATATGGCTTCATCCCCTACATCCATCATGGTTTTCTGGAGGGTGTATATCCATTATGAACAGTGGATAGGATTATTTGTAGTTGGTTAGCTAAACATGTTGTAAACTATGAGGGTATGAGTATAACACCATACAAATCATGAATATCCCATCAGAACACCATTAAAGCACCCTTGTTAACCCACAACCAAAACAGTTGAATCATGCCGTGACTGCGCTCTGCACCCGTTGTCAGGAGCAACGAAGACATTTGGCAACGGCTTCGTACGGCGTCCAGTTCGTTGGCGAAGTTGGTTTATACCTAGCTTAACTATTATATATAGTTAATACATAGTCAGGCTGATATAATTAATTACAACATGCTATAACCACATTTAAGTACAACGTAAATTTACTTAATTATGGCAGATTTAGCTGATATAACATGATTTAATTCTAGTTAATTAATCGGGTTTAGAAACCAACTTACAACTAAGCGGCACCAGCTTGTAGCTGTTTTCGGGACCCTGACACCCAACTGGATTGGTTTGTCGTTTGTTCCTTTTTATCGACAGCAGGTTGCGTGAAGACATGTCACGTTTACGACAGAACAACTTGGACAGAAGGCGTTTGATCAATGTCCATTTCAGGATCCTAGATTGGAGGTACCTACCATATAAGGCCTATGTAAGGCCTATGTAAGGGAATATCCCCACAAAATATGGCCTTATATGGTACAGTACCTCCATTTTAGGATCCTGGAATTCCCATTGATTTGAATGCGTTTGACTTGATGAAATCCAGATAAACCGAGTGATTCTTTCAGCAAAAGATTACTGTTTGGAGTCAATGGATACCCACCCCAATTCTTTGACCTTACGATGAAACCCTGCCGTGGTGGAGTTGGCTCGAGATGTCTAGTAGTGGAGGACAGTTATATGCTAATTTTATTTCAATAAATGTTTCAAGTAAACATTGTTTTGCCAAGTGGTCGGTGTGAGAGCTTGTCGCTTCCGCGGTCCTCCAAAGTAGGGGACCTGAAGATTCTGGCCCAGACCTATTTTGGACAAGGCCGCTTCAAGCTTATCACGGCAGAAGGACATGTCCTGCTCGATCCTCTGGAATCTATTTACGATGCCGGGCTTGAAGATGGAGACCACCTCACTGCGGTCGCATGTCAAAGCCAAGTTGCGGCAACTGCAAAAGCTTTTGCTTTGTGGTGCCCTGGAGGTGACAGGATCGTCCCCTGGGGAAATCAAGAGTTCGAAGGTCTCATCTCTGCTTTCCGGGATCAGCTTAGTGTGCAGGTGGTTCAAGGCCCACACCGCCACAAGATCCTATTTGATGGAGAGCAAGGCACGGCATTTGCCGCCATTTTGGCAGATGGATCGGTAGTTACGTGGGGCCACCCAGATTTTGGTGGGGACAGTTTTGCAGTGCGGGGTCAGCTCAAAAATGTGCAGCAGGTTCAGGCCACAGCTGGTGCATTTGCTGCCATTCTGGCAGATGGATCGGTAGTTACGTGGGGCCACCCGGATCGTGGTGGTGACAGTTCTGCTGTCCGGGATCAGCTCAGGAATGTGCAGCAGGTTCAGGCCACAGCTGGTGCATTTGCTGCCATTCTGGCAGATGGATCAGTAGTTACGTGGGGTGATAGAGACGCCGGTGGTGACAATTCTGCGGTCCGGGATCAGCTCAGGAATGTGCAGCAGGTTCAGGCCGCATGTGGTGCATTTGCTGCCATTCTGGCAGATGGATCGGTAGTTACATGGGGTGATCCACATACGGGTGGTGACAGTTTTGCGGTCCGGGATCAGCTCAGGAATGTGCAGCAGGTTCAGGCCACATTTAATGCATTTGCTGCCATTCTGGCAGATGGATCGGTAGTGACATGGGGCCACCCGGACTGTGGTGGTGAAAGTTCTGCCGTCCGCGATCGGCTCAGGAATGTGCAGCAGGTTCAGGCCACATTTAATGCATTTGCTGCCATTCTGGCAGATGGATCGGTAGTGACATGGGGCCACCCGGATTGTGGTGGTGACAGTTCTGCCGTCCGGGATCAGCTCAGGAATGTGCAGCAGGTTCAGGCCACAGCTGGTGCATTTGCTGCCATTCTGGCAGATGGATCCGTAGTTACATGGGGTGATAGAGACGCCGGTGGTGACAATTCTACGGTCCGGGATCAGCTCAGGAATGTGCAGCAAGTTCAGGCCACATTTAATGCATTTGCTGCCATTCTGGCAGATGGATCGGTAGTGACATGGGGCCACCCGGATTGTGGTGGTGACAGTTCTGCCGTCCGGGATCAGCTCAGGAATGTGCAGCAGGTTCAAGCCACAGCTGGTGCATTTGCTGCCATTCTGGCAGATGGATCCGTAGTTACATGGGGTGATCCACATACCGGTGGTGACAGTTATGCGGTCCGGGATCAGACCCTGGCCCTTTCCCTGTGACCAGGATGCAAGAACGGAAATTGCGTGTTTCCAATGTGAGCTCTGCATTCGTTGAAAACAATGAAATTTGCTCTCAAGCGGCAGTGCTCTGAGTGCGAGAGTCATGAGTGTTGACAGACTCTCTGGATCACCCGGGACACGAGATTGACGGGGTGTTTTTGACAATAACCCAGGACCATATTACCAACATTTACCAACAAACGTGGTGATATTGTGTGATATTTGGGGATACCTTCGATGGGTTGTTGAAATATGATTCTAATATTTTCCCACAAAGGGACGTGCCAAAAGATGATCGGACAGAGGGTATCTAAGACTGGCCATGATATTGAAAGCAAATCAAAGATTATCAACCCACCTGAACCAATCTGTCTTGCGGGGGTGGCTTTCAGAAGAACTCACAAGAAGCTCCCCTTACTTTTGAACTGGTTTGTTGCCCCCACCTTAATTCCAATTGTTAGCGCGGTTCAAAACCAGCTTGCCCATCAGAAGTACAACTTACATAATAACTATGTGTTCATTTTTGTTGGTTAAATTGTATCTGTGGTATGCTCAATCAAATGCTCAAAATGTTGGCCATGTTTAAGCCGTGCCACAGGGCCATTGTCAAAATGTCCGAGGTCGCCCCCACCAGTCCGCTTGGGGCGTTGGCTGCAGGGCCTGCTGGGCACCCAGCTGCATTTGCCAAATGTGATGCGTGCAAGAATCAAAGAAGTGGGTATGAGATAGTATCCGATAGTTTGGGATAGTTTGTACGTATGATTTGTATGCCAATTATTCACAATTATTCTATAATGCACGTGCCTTCGCTAGTCAATATCTTTGGTGATGAATAGTGTATGCACGCAATGTGCTTCGCAGGTTTGTTCTAGGGCATGAAACAGTCCAACCCCCCTACTCGGATTGGTTGGTGGATTTATCATGATTAATCAACTAAAAATGGGTTCATGTGCCGTCTTTGGTCCTTATGTTGATAAAGAATGACCGAGAGGTTAATTTTGTATTGGTGTTAGTGTACATGTATCTGCATGTGTACTTGCGAAGCTGGTGAGATTATGATTCAAACGGAGCACACGTAGATCAAACAAATGACTCTTGAACTGACGACTCATCAGCAACATTGACTTCGGGAGCCAGGAGCTACATTCTTGATCATTATTGTTACAAACCATGAGAAGCAGAACCGCACAGAAATTGGGGCGGGCGTCAGTTCGTTGATCACTTCGAAGTTGGAACATTGATTCAAAAACAGAAACAGGTGGTCCTACATGTGAAGCCAAAGCCATTTTTACATTAGCTGTTCGCATTGCTGCGTGGGGAAAATGACAAAGTGATAAGGGATACCTGTACCTTTTTTTCTATAAAGACCCCTTGCGTGGTCACAATTCCTTAAGATGGATCAAAACGATATGCTACAATGATATGGGTCCACGGCTCCCTGCAAATCCATAGTTTTTCGGAAGCCCATGGATATTGTAACTGTAGAATGCGGTAAAGCCAATTATAACTTGTCCCCGTTTTACCAGACATGGCTGGTATAAACATGTATAAACTCTCCCAAGATGGAACTTTATTAGCGGGTTTAATATATTAATTGGGTGTAGTTCCCATGATATCCCCACAATGTCGTGGGTGGTGCCCCAGTTTGTTAGATAAGTTGGTAAATGCAACTCCAATAACCGGAGTTTATGGTATGTAGATATATTCTGGAAGAAGTTCATGGCAAACCAACTGACATAACCATTGGTATATTGAGTATTTTGGGAAAGTCCCAATGTATATGTAATATAGCTATATAGATATTATAGATGTTTTTGCCTTATCTAACCATAGTTATAGCTATGAATTTCGAAAGAAGTTTAGAATTCAAACTTCCGACAATATGGACAGATGAGCAAGCAGAAGCGGGAAGAGCCAGAGAAGAGAAGAGAAGAGAAGAAGAAAGAAGATCAGAGAAGAGAAAGAGCCAGAAGAACGAAGATGCAGGTGCGCGAAAAGGCAGACAAGTCGCGAAACACAATGCTCTGGGGCTCCGGAGGGTCAAAAAGTAGGCTCGCTAAAGCGGCGGTGCAGAGCCATCTGGCGGGATGAAAAATTGCACGCCGTTGCGGCACGACGAAGTCAAAATGTACAAAGCACATCATTCTTGGAGCATTTTTGGATGTTGAGATGTTGAAAAAGTGCACGACGTTGTGGCACGAAGCACATTTGGAACTCAAGATGTACAAAGCAATTTAGCATCGGAACACTTTCGGAAGTTGAGCTGTTGAAAAAGTGTATGTTGTTGGAGCGCGAAGCACATTTTCCGAAGTCAAAATGTGAAAAGCACACCATGCCCGGAGCACTTTTGGAAGTTGAGATGTTGAAAAAGTGCACGATGTTGGAGCGCGAAGCACATTTTCCGAAGTCAACATGATGTCAACATGTCAAATACACATCATGCTCGGAGCGCGTTTGGAAGTTGAGATGTTGAAAAAGTGCACGCAGTTGTGGCATGAAGCACATTTCGAAGTCAAAAGTGTTGAAAACTGAGGGTCTCGGACCACTTTTTGAACTTAGGATGTGGTTTTGCGTGGCAGGCGCAGGGGGTTCTGCACCTTCCCGAAGGCGAGCAAAACGTGAGTAACGTGAGGGTTTTGTGCAGTTTCAAAAACGATGGCAGGCGTGGGACATTTGAAGAGGATCTGCAAAGATGCATTTGCGTGGCAGGAGCAGTACAAGAGAAATAATCATCAGACATGTTAGGAGGTCTGGGCGATGATTTCCTGAGAAGTCTTGAATTTTGGAGCATCGGAATCGGATCTTCAGGTTTGCTAAGATGATTTTACGTGACAGGTGCAGCACTTCGCACGACCTGGCCTCATTCTTTCGTGACAGGCGCAGTACTTTAGACAGACGGAATGGAAAAATCGCAAGACACATTGGTACGAGGCCGTCAGCTCTGCACTCAGCTTTCCATTTTTGAAGGAAGTCTCGTAAATTTGCTTCGTTTTTGGTGTTGTCAAATGGAGGCAGTCTCGCAGAATGGGTTCCTTTTTGGCGCAGACTTGCTTCGTCTTTGATGTTGTCAACTTCACACACGGAGAAAGTCTCGCAGAATAGCTTCGTTTTCAAGCTTGCAGGTACACAGATAGATAGACGCATAAATAGAAGGACAGAAAATTACACTGATAGATAGATGAAAGACAGATAGATAGACAGATAGATAGACAGATTCAGATTATTAGACAGAAGGACAGATAGACAGACAGACAGCCAGCCAGCCAGCCAGACAGACAGCCAGGCAGGCAGGCAGACAGACAGACAGACAAATCGATAGATAGATTGACAGGCAGACCAATCGATAGATAGACTCATAGAAAGATAGTGAGTTAGACAGATCGACAGATGGACAGAAAAAACAGATAGACAGATGGACAGCAGTTAGATAGATGGGTGGGTGGATAGATGGATGGATGGATGGATGGATGGAAAGATAGATAGATAGATGGATAGATAGAAATATCTGTAGATAGAGGAATGGATGGCGAGAGACAGAAAGATATATCAACAAATAGATATATAGATACACGTATAGAAAGACAGACAAGACAGACAAGACTCACAGATAAACAGACAGATAAACGGCTAGACAGATAGATAGACAGATAGATAGACAGGCAGACAGACAGATAGATAGACCGACAGATATAGAGATAGATAGATGCTTAGATAGACAGACAAAAAGAAAAGATAGATGGATAGATGGATAGATGGATAGATGGATAGATGGATAGAGATAGAGATAGATGGATAGATGGATAGATGGATAGATGGATAGATGGATAGATGGATAGATGGATAGATGGATAGATGGATAGATGGATAGATGGATAGATAGATAGAGATAGATAGATATAGACAGATATAGATAGATTTAGATAGATATAGATAGATATAGATAGATATAGATAGATATAGATAGATATAGATAGATATAGATTATTTAATTTCAAAAGCAATGAAACCATGCCCCTCTATTGGGCTGCTACTTAGGGGTACGGGGGGTCATTTCTATAGGTACGGGTACGGGTACGGGTGTTCGGTACGGGTGTTGGGTACGGGTACGGGTGTTGGGTATATGTTTGGGTGCCGGCACCGTACCCATGTACCGTACCCATGTACCGTGCCCATGTACCGTGCCACCGTACCCATGTACGGTATTCATCTACCGTACCACCGTACCCATCGTACCCTGTACCGTACCCATGAACCGTACCCACCGTACCCACCATACGTACCCAGTTAGCGGCCGATCTAGCAAGCGATTTTTTGATATCTTTGAAGTTTATTAATAATTTGTTAAATAAAAACATATTTTTTATCTTAAAAGATCGGTTGCTAGATCGGTTGCTAACTGGGTACGTATAGTGGGTACGGTGGGTACGGTACATGGGTACGGTACCCACCGTACCCACCATTGTACCCAGGTAGCGACCGATCTAGCAACCAATTCCTTTTATATCTTTTGATTTTTTTTTATTAATAAAGAACTTTAATACAAAACATTTTTGTCTTAAAAAATCGGTTGCGAGATCGGTCGCTAACTGGGTACATATGGTGGGTATGGTGGGTACGGTACATGGGTATGGTACCCAGTACCATACTTACGTACCCATGTCCAAGCCGTACCTGAAAAAGGCAGCCATTAGAGCATTGCTTTTAAAATTTGATAAGATATAGATAGATATAGATAGATATAGATAGATATAGATAGATATAGATAGATCTAGATAGATATAGATAGATAGATAGATAGATAGCCCGACACGCCAACCACCTTTCAATCCAGCAGTGGATGCGCTCTGCCATCCATGCATCACAACAACTGATCTCTCCTATAGTTTTCCTAGTGTTGAAACTTCCGTCACCGCCTTCTGCGGTACTACTGTGCTACTCGTATATATACACTTACATACCAAAAAATAGCAGTCCAGAAACCAGGGTTATTTTCCATAAACCAATTTATGTCCGTGCTTTTCACAACCCGACAAAACATAACTAATTGGGGGGGCTGTTGTCGCCCAGGCTACGCTTCCTGGCTGTTGCCTTGCGACCTGTTTGGGCCTGGCTGGCCCAGATGTCATCACAAAAACTTCGGATTTAACCACCAAAAATGTTGTTTTAAAAACGAAACATAGAGATTATACATCACCAGAGTAATTTCGGATTCATCGTTGATTTCTTATATATGTAAGTTGATTTATAATTCGGCGACGCATTTATGGTGGAAAATATCTGTAGTTAGATGGGGTGATATCCAACTTTGAACGGGGAAGGTATTTCTTCAATGAATACCCAATTTTTGGACACACCCATTTTTAGGGGATTCCATCTTCCAGGATGAAGGTGCTAAAGGAACGTCAGTTCTGGGTACAGTAAATGGAATGTTTCTCAACGGCACCAGAGATGATGCTGGAAAAAAAATCAGATTGGTGATGCTTTAGAATTCAGCCAGATCAGTTGGTGATGTGTTCTGTGCATTTCTGAGATTCTCAGGCATTGGGCGGGTGTGTCCTACCCTGAAATGCCAATTGGCATTGGTTTGTAATGCCCTCGGTTCGCAATTTCCATAGACCTCTATCATTAGCATGCAAATGTTGTTTGTTCCAAGATGTTTAGGTTTCAACCCTCTATATCGTTAGATTTTGAGAGATTTCTTGCAAATTTATGCAACATATTGTAATGGATGTGTACTGTATCCTTCACCATACTGTGACACCATTTGCTCCTCGTCGTCCTATTCACATGAGCTACAGCCAAAATTTAGGTTAATGGAGAGTAGTATTCGAGACATCTTCATATTTTGGAAATTGAGCTGGGGATTGAAAAACGATAATACACTCTTCAAACAACGATAAAATTTGCTTGTATACCAAAACTTGAAAAACGATAATACACTCGTCAAAAATTGATGCCTTGGAGCTATATACCAAATATTGACCGTGGCCCACATCAAAAAAAGGCCCTGTTTTGGACCCAAAAGTTTCTGACAACCGGCAGCAAATGGTAGTGGAAGTGGTGGCTTTCAAGCCGGGCATGCGACCAAAAAAAAAGGGCAAAACCATCTACATACATACCCACATCTGGAGAATCAAACCCATGTTTGTTGGTTCGTGGCTTTAGAAAATACCATTCGGGTATTGTTTATCTTGTTTGGTGGTTTATATAATCATGGTTCATCATTTTTGTTGATAAACCTACAAGTTGTTGCCCCCTAATTATAATAAACCTACAAGCTGTTGCCCCCTAAATCCCCATATTATATTATTGTATATATTGTTGTTGGTTTTTAACTCTATTTAACTCTTGGTTATCACCATAAATTCTGAGTTAATCCACTGGTCACTAGACCAAGGTGATCCCATATCCCCAGGATTTGTCCATGTTTTCCCATGGTTATCCCACTATAATATCCCTAATTACTAGTATATTATAGTAATATATCCCATTATATTCCAGTGATATAGTAATGTACTTATATTATCTTATATTCCCATGGATAGTAATATCCCATTATATTATATCCCATTGTATTATAGTAATGTACTTATATATATTCCCATATATCCCAGTTGTATGACGTATATTCCGATCATATCCCTATTCCCACTGAAATATCCCTGTTGATGGTGATCCCGTGTTGAGGACCTCCCTTTGGTGGTCACCGTGTCGCACCGCGAAACGCTCGGACTCGCCGGGGTCTCCCGGGATGATCGAGGATTGTGTTGCGACCATCCATTATCTATAGGGTTTATGGGGGTTATATCTATAGATATCTATAGTTAATGGGGATTATAAACCAACTTAGAACATCGGGGGGTACCATCCATCTAGAACTTGAAACTACTCAGGCGTTCTGATAGTTCTGTGGAATTTCGATTCTGCCATTCGAATCGGATACAACCATCATCACTCATCAACCATCCGTTGTTGGCTTGCCTGGAGGGTATATCTTCTATTGAACCGTTCTCACAAAAAATGAGGAGGACACCTTGGTATGGGTCAAAATTCAGGGCTCGACCGTTTAAATGGATCGGTCAAAAAATAGGACGAAACATCCAAATTTTCAGGTTGAAACCCAATGTCGACCTATACCCAAATCAATAAAGATTCCCATTGAGGCAGCGATAAAGCGTGGATTTTTTTAACGATTAAAACTCCGAAAAGCTTGGAAAAACAAAAAATCCAAATAGGATTAAGAGAGCAAGAGGCATGTGATTTGATGATTTCAATTGCTTGTGCAATGTTTTCAGCTTCTACAAATTGGCAGTCAAATGTAATAAATGGAATGGTTTGAGGAAACAAATACAGGTCAGGAAACCCTGTTTTTTACTCACACATCTTTACAGGTTAGGGGTTAGGTCTCAAAAACTCCGACCCCTAGCGGGGCAATTTGAGGCCTTGGATGATGTACCCTCCTTCAGGACCCAAAGCCTTCCTTCCTGTACGCTTTGCAAAGAGAAGTGTAGATATGGGTGTCTCTTACAATGAGGGATACCACCCAAAAATGGCTTCCGCATTAAAAGCAACATTTTTTTGCAGTTTTTGGACTCCTCCATTTCAAGAAACTCCTACATGGATCTGTCCGAAAAAATGGGGGTTGCTGCAGACATTGCAATTCCAAAAGAGCGTCGGTTGAAAGTGGCTAGATGCCATCGGCTCAACCTTTGGCTCGTGCTCTGCAATGCATCCCCGATCAGTCCTCCAGAAAGCTCGAGCATGAGGTGGATACCGCTGGTTCTCGCTCAGCGTACGCATGCCTTTCAACCAGCAGACACGTTGTTTTGCTAGCTTCAAAAGCTTCCTTAGAGAGGAAATCTGCAGAGTAAAACTGAGAGGCAATGATGTGGTCAGCCAGGAAAATTGGTTTTGCCTGTTCAAAGTTTCCACTGATTACAAGTGTGGAAACAAATGGCAACAAGCTTTCGTTCAGACCGGTTAACAATGATGGTACTCCATTTTAGTTCTCGGTGCACCATTTCAAACAAATCCATATGCGCATGAGTCAACATTGAGTACGGACATGATCAGACATTGACATAAATTATGTACTGTACTCTATTGAAAACCGTATTAAATGGCCAAGACACGGTTGGGCGGTGCGGGTCTTATGGGTCAAAAATGTTGGACCCAAACAAATGATTATATGAACATATATGTGATTATTGTGACATAAATATATAATATATATATATATATAATATATAATAAATACACATAAACTACACAATTTGAAATGACTGATTTTTTAAGCTTGGGCTATACCCGCATTCTTTAGAGCATCTCCCATTGAGTTCGTCAGGTCCAGCAGAGTTTAGGTCGGAGAGCCCGGAGGAACTCCCAGACACAGAGAGCAGCGGTCCCGGCGACATTTTGAGTCACCCTTGATGAATTGTAAGATGCAAAATGTCATGTACTTATTTTGACAGTGATTGCATTTCATTGACTCAAAAAGGATAACAAAATGAAGATAATTTGATATGATATCCAAGTTGGTCATTGAACACATAGGGCAAGATATGCATGAGGAATCATGGGGATGCTTTCCTAAAACACTGTATTAAGTGATTATCCGACCCACTTGACACTGACCCTCTTGAATACTCTAGAATCTTGAAGCCATGAATTGTGGTGGATTTGTCTATTTTTGGTTCTAGGCTGGATAAATCATGAGCAGGATGGGGCTTAGCATTATCAACACATTGAAGAGGAGCACTTATAGGTCTGAAGATCTCAACTAAGTGTTAGTTACTGATGGGACTGCCAAGTAAAAACCTTCCATTTTGCAGGGAGAGCTTATAATTCGGGACACTAAAGTAGAAGACACCAACATTCAATCAACATGAAGAAATGCTTTTCTTTCAGACCTCAGACCCCTGGTATGTTCTATATGGGTGTTTTGCATCCATTTCTACGTAAAAACATATTATATGCATATACAGTTAATATATATATATACATATATATACATTATACATGTGTCATTGTGTGACACCATGGTTTTGCAGGTGTTTGAACTTGTTTGTGTACTGTTATAATTGCTTACCTCAGTATATGTGCCATGGTCAGCTCACATGTTTTTCTTCATATTGAATGATTGAAACTCAACATCGATCAACTCCTGGGGTTCCCCAAAATAAACTTCAGTCATTTCGTCTAAATTTATGATAGACAAAGAAAATTTCTGGGATTAGTATGGATTAGTGATATCAAATATCTAGAATCATTGGATTGGTTTGTTGGGGAAAATCTTAACCGGAAACCCATGGGTTTTTACCATCAAATTGATCAGGCTTTCCGGTTAAAATTTTCCCATCATCCAATTCTATGATAGAACAAATCACCATGTTTAATGGGAAAATCCACTATAAATGGTCATTTTCAATAGCTATGTAACAAATTACCAGAGGGTATCAAATATCAAACTTGTGAAAATAAACTGATCAACAAATCTGTGGGATTCCCATGGATGACCCGAGGTCTGGGCATTGCAGAGGATGCCGTCCGACGTTTGCACCTGGGCTTCAACCCGGGGCTTAGAACTGGAGGATCATCCCACTGATCTTCATAGCTACTGCTTGGTGGTTTCAAACATTTTTTATTTTTCCATATTAGTGGATTATAGTGGTTTAATGGATTTTAATGGATTTTAATGGATGTTTCCATATCTTGGGAATGTCATCATCCCAACTGACGAACTCATATTTTTCAGAGGGGTAGGTTGAAACCACCAACCAGGTTATTATGTGATGGCTAACCGTAGCTTGGCATAGGTTTCGCCAGACTTTGGAGGTGTTTTATGTTTTTTTCAAGATTGAGAAAACAAAAACTGACATTTTAGTGTACGCATGAGAAGGGATGTGATGGTTTAATGCCATGTCTTGCTATTACCAAGTAGACTTCACGGTCATTTAATGAATCATCATCATCATCATCATCATCATCATCAAATGACAGTTGTAAAATCTAAATAATGATAAGGCTGATGCTGATGCTGCTGATGCTGCTGCTGCTGCCGCCGCCGATGATGTTGATGATGATGGTAATGAGACCATATGAGAAAAATGAGAACGACCCTTTATCATAGGTAAGTTGCTTTACATACACAATGCATAATGATTTCTACGGGTACCAGGGTAGCACCTCCCAGGATTGGCCGGCTGCGTCCAGCTGTGCGTTTCGCCCACGGCGCTGAAAGTGGGCAGAAGTCCAAGGTGACGATGGACGTGTGTCGTTGCAGAAAATTACACCAAATGGCATTTTTTTAATAGGCAACAATGAAGTTCTCAACCATCTGAAATATGTATACATATATATAAATAATTATATATATATATATATCTGGAGAACGTGTTTGGTCGCCCCAATGCAGTTGAACACGAACATTATTATATAGGGGGCTTGTGAAACTTGCACAACTTCTGTGAAACCTTCGCAACTTCTGTGCAACGTGCACAACTGCTGGGAGACGTGCACAACATCTCTGACACGTGCACAACATCTCTGAAACGTGCACAACATCTCTGACACGTGCACATATAGAATACTTGAAAACACTGGGTAGGGGCGGTGAAACACGTTATGCACATATATATATATATATACACATAGTACTGTATTTAATATACCCGCAAATGTTTCATTTTTGATAGGATAGGGAACATGAAATTCTGAACCATCAAATTTGGGCGTAGATTTATTTTTCAGACAAAGCCAATTTTTGGCATGTCCTGGTTCTTTTTTGGTTGTGGCTTGTGATAGAAGTACAGCTGTTTGGCTGGCACTGCAGCCTTGGGTTGAGGACACACAACGATGATAGGCCCAGGTTGGTCAACTTCTAATTCATGGGATGTAGATTCAGCTATGGGACCTACCATATCCTAGCACATATATATATAGTAATAATGATAATAATAATAATAATATCTACTACAGTAGAGTCAGTATAGTTTTGTGGAGCCCTTTGTCCCTGATCATTTTTTTGACGGACAGCATTGCACAATGTTTTCATTGGAATTGATTCTGGGTAAAGCTTGGTGAATGGCTACTTGATTTTGTTTGAAAGCCAGTTTGATGGAGGAATAGTTGAAATCAAATGAAGAATTCATTGGCTCAGGAGCATGAGAGGTTAGCCAAAGGTTGTTGAAATGGAGTCTGTGATGTTGCGAGTACAATTCAACAGCTCCATTTTCCTAAGACCTTTCTATATTAATGTCATCATATTTTGTTACCCGAATCCCACGAAAAATCAATCCCAATTGCAATGTGTTTTACATCCTTTTCCCAAACATGTACGCTGCAAACCCCACGTTTGCCCGCATCGGATCCCGCATATCCTTTGACATGCTCAAATCCGTGCGTATGGCTAGAGTTTTTTTTACTTTCAAAAACCTAAAACCCTAAAAGCCTAAAAACCTAAACCCTAAATTAAAACCCTAAATCCTAAAAACCTAAAGTCAAAATCGCTGCGTATAGCCAGTGTTTTCATTCTTCCTCTGATGACAAGTACATGATATTGTTTGGGTGTTTTTTTTGGGTGTGGACGAACGCGGGGTTTGGCACCAACATGTATTATAGCAACCCCCCAACAAATGCCAAAGTGTGTCAAACAGTCAAACCCAATTGAAATAGTAAATTGAGGGTAAGTGATCCCTTAACCTAAACCTAAATTGAACCCTGTTTGCATGTTTCTGGGTGTTACTATGCAGCAAACATCTCCCCACTCGGTGAAACTGTTCGAAACTCGCTGTCCGCGAGGCCGTTGATCCTGCTTCCAGCAGCGCAGCCAGGCCGTTGGATCGGTGCTCCCCTGGGGATCCAATCATTTCCTTTGAGGATGGTAGTTCAATGCCCCAATTTGCCAAGGCTGATATTGGAAGCCATGTTAGCCATATCTTCTCACAATAAAATTGCCAAATTGCATCCCCCAAGAGCCCAAGAGTGGGATATCATGGGACAAGCTATGAGTAAAATTCGGACTTCACCAACAAAAATGACGGTTTAGCCAGCACAGATAAAGGACATCACTTGGCCGTGACAGGTTCAAACTCTACACCAGCGAGCGCTCCGTTCAGAGCGAAGCCGTTGCACAGGCATTGTAGCCATTTGTTTTTGCAGGAATATATAGCGTGATTGAATATCATAATTTCATAATTTTAATATTAATATGTAATTGATTTGGTATCCCACTATTTACTTTTTAAAGTTGCATCTAGACTTAGCCATGATCAAAGGTAATCCTTTTCAAGGCAATTGCATAAATAACGTGCCTACTCTACTTCTTTCGTTGACATGATCACCCCAGACGCTCCTACATCTCCATTGCTCGGTGCAGCACAAATTGAATTAGCTGTGCCAATCCAGAAACTCAACGGGTTGAAACAGGCAGCAATTCAAAGCAATCATTGCGGGGTTGTTAGATGACCATGTTGAGACTTCAGTGACCCCAATGAAAGTGCTGTTGTCAAGTTGTTTTTCTTGTGTTGCTATCTTTTTCATGGAGTCATGTAGGCTGATGCCTCACCCAAGTTGGTAAACGTCTCCACATGAATGGCTGATGTTTGGTACGTTATGTGAGGCCCCCCCAGTTCTAAGTTTGTTGGTTTACAAAAGCCCCAGTAACTAGTTCGTTATAAGTACCATAAACCATAGTTATTGGAGTTATAAAGCAAGTTAGCTATCGAACGGGGGCCTCACATTGTATGTTATGTGTGTATATGTGATGTGAAACGAAGACGGTCATGGTAATTTCACATTGAACAAATACGGGTCTGTCTGAAAGTGGGGTACTGTATCCCAAACTCTGATGGGTTATCTTAATGTTTCCTATGACACAACCATTGAAATGAGGTACACCCCATTTCCAGACCCATTTATAGAATTTATAGTTTATGTAAATGAGGTATAACCATTTTATGATGGGGTATAATGTTATGTCATGAGGTATAACCATTTTATGATGGTTGAAACATGTTGAAACCCTCATAGTGCCAATTCCATTCACCATGGGCCAGGCGCGACAGACTTTGCACGGAGTGCTTGAGGCTCACCAAGGGACGCACTCGAACCTCACCGCTGTGCTGTTAAAGGGCGGTGTAATACGAAAGAAATGGGTATGGGTCAAAATTAGGTACCCCAATAATTGGATGGTTAATACTAAACTAGACTAACATCTGTGGTCCCCTAGGTCTTCCATTTTGACCCACATCCAAATGGAGGTTTAATTCGCTAGCTATGTTTCATTATCAGTGGGTAAATCGTTCCACATTTCATTCCCTAAGATATTCTGAGATACTGGGGCCCGTCCAATCCTAGCGGACCCTATATTTATCAAGGCGGTTCGTAGTTTGTGTCGCGGAATCTGGTTGATGCGGGGGAAAAAATGATCCCTAGGCAAGCTCTTAATGGTGGGTACAAAAGGGGCTCGGGTTGGGTTATACCATGCCAAAATAACTCATATAATGTGGTACACCCAATTCAAACGTTCAATTTTAGAGGGTATTTTAACTACCCATTTATCCATTTCAGGTGATGGGTCATCATTGGGTTTACCACATGAATTTTCAGAATATAAGCCCTGTAACTCACCCTGTAACATCCTGCGACAAGCACCGACTTCTCATAGCCGCCTTGGCCAGGTGGCAGATCGCGCATTGGAAGTGCTGTCCCTGCTTTCCCTACTGCAAGAGCAGAACCTTGATGGGATGGGAATGGGATGGGAATGGATTCTGGAGCTCATCATCTACATAGATATATGGGGATATATGGGGGTTTAATGGTTGTATAACTTATATAACCAATATGACTAATGAGTGGATATAAAATGATATAAAGATTATAAGGGGGTTATAAGATCATATTGATGGAGTTGATCATGTGGATGTACGATAAAACTTTCAAAATGAGGATGTGACCAGGATGTTCGCCAAGACGAGATAGGTAGGTACTTTGCAACCCGACCACTTTTTAGTCCCAGGAAGAGCGCCTATCGGGTGCTTCGCAGCAACTTGTTGAGCAGCGACTTGCTACAGCGACTTCAGTGCACCAGCTTTGGGCAGTTGGTGGGGTACCCCGGGTCCCCGGGAAAAGGTGACTGTGGGGGCTGCGGGGACCTGAAAATTCTAGGCAAATTTATGGTGATTTCATGCTGAGGTCATGGGATTTTGCCAACAATTGTGAAAAAAAAGGTGATTTTGATGGGATGTTTACCAGTTTTAAAAAGTGATTTAATGGTGATGTGATGAGATTTTACAAAAAAAAAACAGGTGTCATTTGATGGTAATTTATTGGTGATTGCTTTGACGGTAATTTAATTGTGATTGCATGGGATTTTCACGTAAAAACTGTGAATGTTGATGTCATGGGATGCAGGTAACAACGGTGATTTAATGTTTTTTTGATGATGATGTACCGTTGTTTGCACCAGTAAAACACCATTAAAAAAGCAGGAACAACCATAGCAAACAAAACCAGTAAACACCATATGTAACTGATTTAATGGTGTTTCCACCAGTAAAACATATTTTTAAAGTGAAGTGCACAAAACAGAAAAGATCGCGCTATGTACTGTACGGACATTGGTTGCTCGTCGGCATCATATCGTTTGGCTGCATGATTGAGTGGAAGATGTTGCCATGAGCAGAAGTGTTGCCGTGATAACCCACGAATCGAGGACTGAAAACACCGCAGAGGATGTAGGGTGGCATGTGGTTGGGTAGCCCTCTCTAAAGAAAATGTGACATAGAAGTCATAGAAGCAAATATCGAGGTCTGAAGCTGGAGAGATGATTTGATACAGTATGATTTGACTGTGGCTGGTCATGTTTGATCATCCAAAAAATGGTCTGAACGATATTGAACGATTGTTTTGAGAGCATTCAGTGATACAAGACACAGCAAGACTTGGTTCAGCGGAACAGTTAGATAAGAACCGATCATGTAAGAATTTTCCAGCCTACCCTGGGGTTCTGAAGTGCTATAGGTGGAAAATATGGGAATTATGAACGAGGATACCCTCAAGTTCTTAATGGGTTAGTTCTTGAGGGGTTCATATGGTGAGAGTTTTGCCAATTCATTTTGGCGTGGTATTAGATTGTAAAGGAGGCGGTGGGAAGAAAAAAACAAATAGGTCCCGAAAAGTTTTTTTAGGCGCAGCCATCCAAAACGGAGCTAAGGGCCAGATATTCCACCATGGAAGGGCGTGAAAGTTCATTTTGGCGTGGTATTAGGTGGCGCAAAGAAGGCGGGGGGAAGAAAAAACTTTCAGGTCCCGAAAGTTAGTGTTTGATTTGGGCGAGCGAAACAAGGCAGCACAGGCAAGATAAGCCAAGACAAGCCAACACAAGCCAAGGGCAGCCTCCAAGGTCAGATGACCTTCAGTGAGTCTGGCTGGTGTCTGGCTGAAGCTGTCAACGTCGATTCAAATATCCCTGGGGCCGAACCATGTTTGTCATCGGCATGGAAGTTCCGCGGTACGTACTCATTCTTTCGGGAAATAGCTGCCAATAATCAATCTGTGGTATATTGATACCCGTTAAAGGGGAATAAGAACCAGTCGCTAGAATTCCAGGGTGCCCTAGGGATCCCTAGGGTTCTTATTTCAATATATAAGCTGACAGAAAGGGTTGACTCTAGCAATCCAGCCCCTGAAGTTCTTATTGCAGTAGGTTCTTAAACAGTGGTTTCACTGTACCCGATGTTGCGTTTTCAATAACGACTATTCAACAAGCGGTAGAGGACACCCTCCAAGTTCGTACCACAACTCTCAGGTCGAGAGTGATGATGCCTGGAGCCTTGTTGGCCGCAGCTGCATTTCTTGGATCTTGGAACCGTGGGCAGATGGGTGTTAAAATTGTCTGGTCTCCAATTCACAAATGTTGACCTTTTCCTATGAACCATTGTATAACATATATATATATATTATATAGATATAGTACTGACCATATGTTTTTTTAATTGACCCATAGCAACAGGATGATTGATAATTGTAGTTAGATGTAGTTAGTTAGTTGTAGCATTACGGATTTTAGTACTATACTGTACTATAGTATGATTATTGATTGATATTGTCACCATGTGTTGGTGATATAAGCATCAACTCGCAGCTTTGTGTCGAAATTAAGTGCAGAGGAACGAGGGAACCACACATAGGTTGTTCCACACATAGTTTGCTTTTGCTGTAAATTGCTTGACCAAATTGAACATGAGGAACATCATATAACCTATGTTTTGATAGGCTACATACAACATATACTGTACATGTAAAAATACGTATGTATATTATATATGTACAACTGATGAATGTATGGTGTATATATATATATAGGTAAACACAGTATGTTAATTACTAATTTGACAATGTTGCACATGTTTGGCTGACTGTACCCAGTTACTTGCCCCATTCCTACATTTGACATGTGGTTTACTAGTTGTCGCTTTGCAACTCCTAAAATTCTCTTGGGGGCTACTACTAATTGACGAACAAATGGCGGGAATGGATGGTTCAACCACCATTGAACAACGATCATATAGGGGTTTCCTAAAATGGGGACCCCCCAAAACCATGGGTTTCAATACTAAAATGGTCTAATGACTTGGATGATCTGGGGTGGCCAATTTAAGGAAACCTTCATAGGTCGCAGCAGCAAAGATGCCCCATCAACTCCAATCGGCGATTTGCGCCAGAAACATTGGTTTGATTTGACACCTTACTTCGTAAGGAAATCATCTCAGCAACGCTACATGTTTGCAAACGATTACGAATCATCAGGTTTGCTTTGATTAGATACAACATATATATATATATATATACATTAATATCACCAATTTTCTATACCATCCCCCCAGTCAACACAATTTATATGGGTAAAACAATGCCATTAATGCCATTAATGCCATGAAAACCCATCCCCCAAATGACCATGTTTATAGGTGGTTTTCACGGTGCCCGAGGCCTTGGACCCAGCTGTGCAGCTCTGTAGCGCTTTCTTGGTGGAAAGCCGCTGGGAATCCGATGAATCGCATGAAATTGGGCTGATTTTTTCAAGCATTAAAGGTGGGAAAGCAATATGAAACCTAACATCATGAAATTTAGTGAGATGAAATATATGATAATATATATATATGTATATATATATATGTGCAATTTCATCTCATTAAAAGTCATTAAACCTTTATTGGGGATGGTTACCATGGATGTTTATGGCCTGTTACCACATGAAAATGAAGGAATTGGATACCGACTGGATGGCTAGTTTAGAACGAACTGATCCTTGTAGCACAAGGGCATGAGTCAAGATTCACCCATTGCCAACAGCTACAGAGGAAATCCATCCAAATTATAGTCATAAATGTTTTTTGAGATCCACATGTCCAGCCTGAGTTTGAGTAAGCAAAACATATATAAGTTTATTACTGTTTACCCATAAATTGGTATAACATGGTATACGGTAGAACCAGCAAAAAAATGGGTTCAATTGACAAATTGGTTGAATACAAAAAATGACCAGCCAATTTGACCTATGACGTCATCAACGACCAAGGTGGACTCACAACTCCCATGGCGGACGCGCAGGCGCGCACGAAGGGTTTTTTTTTCCTTTCTTTTCACAACGGTTGGTGGTGAACAACCCCAGGATCCCTACCTGCACTTCCATATAAGTAGATCTAAATTCAGTATACAGTATAATCATTATATATATACATGATATATGATATGTAAGTATACATAATATAATATATATACATGTATATAAAGGTATGTGTATAGTATCAGTTCACTAGGTTTGATAGTGGTCGGGAAAAAAATGATAGATCTTGACTACGTAGGGTCTTCCTCTCAGCGGTGTGACTTCGGGTTTTTGACAGCTACGAGGCGGTGCCCGATGGTGCTCCGCAGTTAGACACGTTGATTTATTCAAAAAATGAATCCAAGAAGTATTTAATAGTGTGTTGTGTGGTAGATATATCTGTACTTAATTGCGATTATACATGATTATAAACCCAACTTATGATTGGAGGGTGCAACCTTGTTTGGGCAATATCTTGGGTTGGATGGCGAACTCGAGCCATACCCGCTCGACCACATGTTTTCTCGATGAACATGATTGATGACAGTGATTTCACCAATAATGGTAATTATGTTGATATACGATCATCAATAACATCAATAATAACATTGTTGTTTTCACCAAGACATAAAAAAATATTTGTTTACATATTTCATTGATATAAGGGAAGGAATCAACAATTTCATTGATATAAGGGAAGGAATCAACAACACTACATAATTATTATATATATATATATAATGCGTTGGCCTGAAGACAGCCGTTTGGCCAAACGGCCAAACGGCCCAAGATCTTATCATAAGCACAGCTCAGCACAGCTCAGCGGACCGGTGACCAAACGAAGCAACCAGTGTTCAGGCGACTCCAGGAGCCAAGTTCCAGCGTTTCGGAAGCGCTGGAGGCAGGGAATGGGGGCCACCTGGATTGATGGAGAACAGCCATATTTTTGGCTGGTGAATCATCAATGGATAAGCATCAACCAGTTTCTCCACATACATGGATAATCATGGATACATAGGGGGAATATATAGGTAATTAAATGTGATGAACAGATGTCCTACAATGTCCCAGGCATGTTGTGGCATGGCAGGATCATGCCGGTCATCCAGAGCCATTTTGAGCCATGTTGAACGGGTTTCAACATCTATGCGGTATTCATGACTGGGATAGACCACCCAAAGTGTATGGATCGTTGAAAATTCAACATGGCCCAATTTCTGATGTTTATATATATATATATATCTATGTTTACATCCATGTTTATCTATGTTTATCTATGTGTTTATCCCCATTTTTGGCTCATACACATGGACAGGATGGACCCTGGAGTACTAAGAGAAGGATATCCGCCCCTTCGGTTTCCGCAGGTCTTTGTCGGGACTTGGAGGAACAGCTCCTCGGTGTTTAGAGAAACAGAGATGGGGAGTTCCATTGGTTAAATTCAACAGTTGGATTGATAACAAATAAAAAGGCTGGATCAACAGTTGGGTGTATCCATTCTTCTAAAATCAGGGATCCATTGTTGATTCTTCCATTGCTATTTTTGTTTGGCATCCATTAACCTCTGGTAATTTAACAAAGCTATGAAAAATGGTCAGCGAAATAGTTGATTTGCCCACTAAACATTGTGATTTTCCATAGTTAGTTATTTGTATGTTTACCTATGGAAGATGGCCATTTTCCAGTTCGCTATGTTGGATTACCAGAGGGTAACCTTTGAAATGGGATCATTTTTCACGGTCAAAGGCGCCAAAGGTTCCAAGGGCAAGTTTGATTTCGGCCGCAGTGGCTGGAAGTTGATCGGAAGGGACAGGGATCTCAACAACAAGAGCTATACAATGCTAATCAATGCTATACAATGCTATACAATGCTATATATAATATATTTATAACCAAGGGTTTGATTATAGTGAACACATATATGATATTCTAAAGGTGTTTGATGTTTTTTTTGGATGTTTTTGGTTAAGATTAGGCTTCTTCCCAGGGATGGCATTTTTTGTTTATCTTCAGATCCGCATCAAAAGTGCAAGCGTTGCAACCCATAGTTTGGTGCATTTTATGCGGAAGTGTGAAAGCAAACAGCCGTTAAACACAGCCGGTAGTCCAGTGCAGTGGGATTTAGTTTGAGACAAGCGGATATGGCAATGGAAATTTCACATTGGCAGACTGTGAAAAACACGGTACTCCACAAATGGAGGTTTCCTGAAGTCGGGGTACCCTTAAATCATCCATTTGATTGCCGGTTTTGTCATTATAAACCATTCAGCTATTGGGGTACCCCCATTTATGGGAAACCCCGGATTGAAAGTGTCGAATGTCTTCCATGGCCAGGTTTTGAATTGTCCCGCACCGTTGAGGTGTCCACAAATCTTCAAAAAGCTGGACCTGTCCTTTGTCGGGGAAGCACAGCAAGAGAGCGAAGCTGAGTTCGGTAGACTCTGAACATCTCTGGACTTATCCTTTTCTCCTTTCTTGCCGTGGCTGTCAACAGCAACAGTATCATGGCTCATTTCATCTATCTCTGGACTTTTCTGGCTCTTCCTTAACTACATGGTGGACTAACCCCCAATTACTGTGTTTTTTTTTTTATAGGGAAGATGATGATCAAGTAGTGGATTTAGGGGTAAGCTATTTTCAAACCAACTCTTCTAGTTTTAAGAGTTTGAATGTTGGCTACGGCCAGGATTACATGGATAACATGTCTTAGGATGTTTTAGTTTTAGTTTCTGTTCATGGTTTTCGTTGAATGATTTCATTCAGATGCGGAGAAATTGTAAATGTTCAGATATGAGTTGTTTTACATGTCTTTAATGATTGAATTTATGTGTGTTTACTGAATGAATTTATGATTTCCGGAACGGTTGGGCCCGGTTTCCAATCAAAGAAGAAACAACAAAAAAAACATCACACTGTTAAACAGTTGCTCACAAAAAAAGAAAAAACATCATATCTCAACTCCAAGTACTGATACTCTTTATATATATATATATATATATTTAAAAAAAAAAACATATCGATCTATAGATTGTCAATGTATATTTATTCCCTGGTACCTCAGACTTGAATCTGTCATAATTCGTACTGTAGAAAAAATAAATTACATCTTAGCATTTCTAGCGTCCTAGTTGCTTCGGCCGTGGTCATCAAATTTGCTGTCCAGGCACAGGCTGGTGATGAAATTCATATTAAACTGGTTCAAGCTCTGCCTTTGTTGGTTGAAACCTGATCACTGATCGTAATCCATATTTCATCAGAAAGATGTGATTATGTGTTATCCCAAGTGTTATCCCAAGTTTGTTGAAATATGATCCAGGAAATTGTGCTCAGTCAGAAGCCCCAAGTGTTATCCCAAGTTTGTTGATCAAGCTGCACAAAGAATCTCTTGCTAAAAAGCACTGCAGTGCCCAGGTCAACTCGCGTTTCGGTGACATGGCTCCTGCACGACCTTTGACTGTCAGGAACTGAGAAAATTCTCAGATGTGGATCTGTCCAATAGGATACCCCAAAGTTGCTACTGCTACTTTTCAACGGGGAAAATTATGATTCACCAGGTTGATTTCGGGGTCCGCTCTTTTCAGACAAGCCCATGTGAGAATTTGTGTGAAAAACCTGGCAGGATATGTAAATGTGTCCGGACAACTTACATATATAAAGACCTCGCGGCGACATCACTCAAATGAATTGTATATATTAGGGGAACTACCGTATCCCAACATGGCTTTGTTTCGTATCTATATTAGGAAATTGTGGAATAAATCCAATAGCATCCAATAACTAGGGCTACCCTCTGGTAATTTAACATAACTATTGAAAATCACCATTTTTCATGGGAAAATCCACTATAAATGGCCATGTTCAATAGCTATGTTAAATTACCAGAGGGTAACTATGAATGTTTATGGTAGCACCATATCTGCAATGAATGTTGGTGGTTTTTACCAGGCTGGTCTTGGCTTGGATGGCTTGGATACCGTGGCGAAGCCGAAAATACCTGAATCATTGGGAACCATTATATATATAAAAGCCATACGTATATGGGATACCGGGTAGCTACTTACCAAGCAGAATTTCATGGGATGGAAAAAAAAATATGGGGTATGTTTTGAAAAGGGCTAAAATATCCTCAGTAAAAAGCCTCAGGAGGGAATGGAACCAGAATGGCACATAGAAAACAAGAACAACAACAACAACAACATGACGTTCGGAATCTCGGTTGAAACATGTCTCTCCTGAGTCAAGAAGGGTGATGTATGATCACGTATACCTACAGTATATATATACACATACACATAGAATTGTGTACATTTGTATATCAAATCTTAGGTTCTCAGATATTTTTTTTAATATTGTAGATATCATATTTTATTACATGTATATCAAGGTAAGTGCCACATGCTATGTGGAAGGTCAAATTGTTGAGGCCCAAACCATCCATTTCTAGGCCACTGGTTTTTGCGTATGGATCACAAAATAGATATCCCACTCATGAGATGCTTAGTGAACATGTGCTGGAATTAACTTGGATGTTACAGCTAAAGCCCTTTACCAGTGATTTTTATGATGATTTGTTTGGGGTTGTCATTCCTTTTCTATGGGGTTATTTGACAAAGCTGGTCTCGAGGCAGCCGCCTTCGGCAAGGCCCCGTGAGCCAGCATGGAATCTGACTATGATGACAGATCCTCGACTGGACATTTCTACTAAACCACAGATTCCATTTCTACAAATGCGAACGTTATTTCATGCGCTTGTTTTGTGTAGGATGGGTGTAGCCACCCCATTTTTTTGGGGGGATCTTCAGAGCATCGCATCCTGGCATTGTCTTGCCGTCGGGGTCCGGCAGGCGGCAGTGGAGAACCAGGAGAGTTGCCTGGAACTACTTCATCGCTACGCACAATGTGTTGGGAGCCCGGTGAAAAAAGAATCGAGGGCTAAGGCGGTTTTTTCACGGAGCTTCCCATGGAGGATTTATAGGGAACTGGAAATAGCTTGGGGGGTGTTGAAGATGGACCAAGTGTTTTTTGAATTTATAGGGAATTGTAGTGAATATGTGGTAACATAACCAACAAACATATCTATATATATATATATCTATCATGTCTATACTTATGGTGATTGATTGGGATAACCAGCTAGGTGTGAAACCAATCAGTTCGAGCCAGACAAGCCAGTGCATGTGTTCCGACGTGTTCCTTGAGTTCTGGAGGATGGACTAAACATGCGAAGTCCAAGGCAATGTCGTAGGCCTTAGGACTTATTAACATCAGAGATCTTAAGACATTCTTACTGTGGGGCATTCTTGCCCAAAATCAGGTGCCTCAAAGTGTGTTTCTGCTGCGATAAGACTTCATGGCGAGTAATGGGGTCTCATATGTGTATATTATATAGATATATTTAAATATATGTGTATATATATATACACATACATATCGGCACACAAGTGTCAATACTAAATTTGAGGTCCCAAACTAGAAATGAGAAGTTTTGACCAACAACTATGAGTATTTCTGGTTGATGCTTTCAAACAAATCTTATTTTTATTCCTAGCAGAAAGTGATATATAATCCAAATTGCCTCTTTTTTCAGATGTGTTAGAACCACCAACCAGATTTGCTCTACAAACAGAGCCAGTTTCACTGATGTTTATCTGTGATACGATTGGGTTTGGGTGCAGCCATGCCATACATGTTTAATCATTTATATATATATATACATATGGGTAAATTATAAAGACCTCACTGTTCTCCCTCACTGGAATCATGGTTAGTAAGGGGAATCATCCCCAAATGGCCTTAATTCAGGTTGGTGAATTATTATAATTTACCCAGATTGATATATATATATATATGTTTCAACTAGCAAACAAGTTGACAAATTTAAAAATGCTGTTTTTTCACATGGTCTTTTGCCAATCAGTTCTTTATTTAATTCTCCAGGCATATTCAGTGGTTAGGAGGGTGCGGTTCGGAGCTATGGATATCTGTATTCCCTCAATGGGAGCCATGGGCCATGGGCCATGGAACTACAATCAGAGTTTCCCAACCACATAAAAAAAAAATCATGGTTGCTTTCATTCTGGTGGTTGATTGATGATTATTGATTCTGAAAACATTTCACCACAATCAACTGGTTATGATTATTGATTCTGGTGATGTTTTCATGATTTTCCAGCATTTCAACCAGGATACACACCCGTAACCAGGATGTTCGACGTAGCACCATCTCCACCTTGTCCCAACCCGGTGCGCGCTTCAGGTCTCCGTCAATTCGCCGGAAGACCACTGGGTGGGATGGGGATTGCCCTCTGGTCACTGAACGTAGCTATGGAACATCACCATTTTTAATAGGAAAACTCACTATAAATGGCCATTTTCAATGGCTAAGTTAGTTTACCAGAGGGTAAATATAGCTAAACCATCATAAATCAATATACATCATCTAGTTCTATGGGTCATTATCCATAGCTATGTCAAATAACCAGAGGGTAATGAGAAACATGGTGATTAGGTTGGGGACATAGCTGGATATTGACTATTCATGGAATATATTTGGGTTGTTCCAACCTATTGTGGGTAGCACAAAGGGGCAACATTTGCGATTTGTTCATTTAGCATGTTGAGCCACCTTTCTTGTATCTGAGGTGTTGGGAGCAACCCTGTATTGTCGTCGGATGATTGTTTTGCATTGTTGCGGGCTGCAAGAATTGCTATAGTCGAAAAAGAACATAGGGGAGATTCCAATATCGATCAGACTGGGTGGAAATGGGAAATTATTGAACATTGTGACTTGTTTCAGTCTCTACTTGTTTCAGTCTCTTTCCTTAGCAAGAAACAAAAACATGTCATATCAAGCACGAGAGATATCCTTTATTATTGCTTTAAACAGACTACTTTCAATGGTATCTTGTCATGGGAAATGGTTTTCCATAAAGAGCACTATCCGATGGCACATGACGCTGAAATTACTGCAAAGCATTTGGATGACTATCCATTTCAGCAAGGAATTTAGAGATGTCCATATCTACTCCAGGATGACGGTATATACAAGGTGAGGTTACCAATTAGAAGTTTGTTGAAATACCCAGAAAAACCAGAGTTACATTCCCCATAAACCCAAACCTTAACCAAGTTCTAAGCCGACTCTCGTAAATCAGCTCTAAATCCCATGAAATCCCCATTTCTCTTGGTGAAATCACCATTTCCCTATGGTTTTCCCATGGTTTTCCCGCTGGTTTCTTGAAATCGCAATAAATGTCGTCGTGGCGCCACCGTCGTTTTTCGGACCAGGTGTCTTTATCTCAGACCTTGCGCCTGGGAGCCCAGGTTCAAGAACAAGAACTGCAGGGTCTAATGGGATTTAACCAACAAATATGGTTGTTATTTGACACAGCTATGGATAATGACCCATAGAACTAGATGATGTATATTGATTTATGATGGTTTAGCTATAGTGGATTTTCCCATTAATCATGGTGATTTTCCATAGCTATGTTAAATTACCAAAGGGTAACTATTCTAAGCCAATGGTTTCTTTTTGGGGATTTAACTCACCCAAATTTGCAAATGATTTGTTTGAATGGGATTTAACCAGCAAATATGGTGAACTGAACAGGTTTTTAATGGTATTCAACCAACAAATAGTTGAGTTACATTAGCTAAGTTGGTTGAACTAAACCTAACAGCATCTAACAGAATCTAAGAACGGTTGGGCTTATGGTTGATATATTGAACTAGTTGATGAGAGTTATAAAGCAAGAAACATGTCACGGAGGCAACACCTCGTAGGTTCCATCCCATTACCAGTATAAACCGTTTATATACAAGGTGGGGCCCGCCCAGTTATCAGATGCTTTGTAAGCTGATTAAGTGCAGTTACTGTACATCCCCCATACAGTAAACCTTGGTTAACCAAGTTATAAGTGAACTTAATTCTCGTCAACGGTGGCCTCACCTTGTATAATACCCAACAGTGGTATTTCTAACGGCTCTAATGACTGGGGTTCAATCTCAAAATGGTCATCCATGACTTGGGTGATTTGGGGTACCCCCATTTTAGGAAACATCCATTTGGGTTACCCTCTGGTAATTTGTTACATAGCTATTGAAAATGGCCATTTATAGTGAGTTTTCCCATTAAAAATGGTGATTTTCCATAGCTATTTTGACATAACCAGAGGGTACCTACTAGGGCAATATGACCCAGCGAACATTTCGAAGATCCAAGTGATCCAAGGTGCAGCGGTCAGCGAAGATCCAAAGCGAGCGGCTGAGGCGTGGCGATGGAAGGTGGGGCTCGATAGTTAGGTACAAGAAATGGTGAATTAACAAGCACGAATAGTGATCTATGATGGATATATGATAGCTAAGTTGGCTTAGGTTAAACTGCGTTTCCTGAATTAACAATTAACAAGCTATGATTCTATGATGGATAGTGAATCTTGATAAATGATGAATAGTGATCTATGTTTCTATGATTAACAATTAACAAATGGTGAATAGTGATTCTATGATTCTATGATGGATATATGATAGCTAAGTTGGCTTAGGAAACTGCGTTTCCTGTGGATGTTTGTGGTAGACTCTGGTAGACGTATCTATAGTTAATTAATGGGAGGAGCCACGAAAAATGGTGGCTTCATGGGACATTCTGCGATGAGGCAAAGCCAGTGCCATAACACGATCCCCAAGCGTTGTTTGTTAAGACATGGCTATAGCATGGTATACCTATATTTGGGATGATGGAAAATGACCACCAGATAGTTTTTCACTGTTTTGGAGGAGCTCCTCAATATGCGCGGGGTAAAATTAATCGGGGCCGACATCAAATAAAGGGATCAAGGGAACCATTCCCACACATGGCTGCTTTCCAGTGTGGTTTGCTTTCGAACTAAAATGGGTTTGTTTGAAAATAGGGTACTGTACCCATTCCATCCATTGCCTAATCATCATGATCCATATTAACACTGCCTGGAGTATACCCCGTGTTCAGACGAGCTGAAATATCATATTGTCAGTCTTATAAGTTATATATATATATTATCATATTATTATGCCAGTATATATATATATATAATTTATATATATATATACATATAATTTATATATATATACACATTAAATCACCATTTGTGATGGTTCATTCTAATAGTACCCCATCAAACACGTTTCAGCCATAGCCTTGCACCAATATGGGGATAGCTTAAGTGGAGGCTCCGTCTGCCTTGGAAATAGCCCTCGGATATATATATATATATACATATATAATTACAATAGATATGTATATATGTGTCTAATATACATATATATATATACATACACAACATGTTCTTTTTTTTTAAAGTATATATGTCTATAATTGTATATATCCATACGATAGATATTTACTTAATCCTTAAGTTTGATTCCATTGATTGATTAGTTCTCCCTGAATCATTGGGTACAATTCTGGGAAATTCCCTAAAACACTTTTGTTTAGAAGGAAACTGCGTCTACTTTTAAAGACGCTTGAACTCAGGCTCCCAGCTACCCTTGTCCCTTCAGGTTTGCGTAGAAAAACTACAGCAGCTGCAGTTGAGCGTCCACTGACCCAGCGGGTTCTACCTTTTGGGACCCACAAGTTGAGGTGTGTCTGGAAATTAGGTATATAATGGTATATATATATATATCCCCAATTATCGCTATTTAATAGGGACAATGGGAACAATCATGGTTAATCAAGTTTTTGGATACCCTATTTTCAGACGAAGCCACTTCGTCCGACTCTTGGTACTGAAAGATGTTTCGGATCACTCATAGTGATCCAATCCAATCCAATTATATATTATATATTATATATTATATATTACATATTATATTATATATATATATATATCAAATTAATCATACTAATGATGATAATAATAGCAATAAACATAACATCATATGTTAGACATAAACATAATCACATACACAATAATTGTATTGCAAGTGGGTCCACTCATCAAAAGTTTTTGAAACTTCAAGAAATGATGCCCTTTTTGGTGTGTGGTAAGCACATGTCGGACAGCTCGGGGACAACGGTGGATTGACATCTTCAACAAGGGTGTTCAACGGGTACCCTTTCAAAGGGGATGATCAATTGGATGATCACACTTTCAACGATCGTAGGATTGCAATCTACCATTCATACAAGTTGGATGCAAAAATGTTCCATTAGTATTAGTATTACATTACTACATAAGAAAATTACATGGTGCCACAGTTGGATGTAATCTTTCCAGTTAGGTGCTGGCTCCTAACATTGACTGGCACCCAATGTAGGCAATTACCCAAGTCATTGGTTGCGAAATGTGCTTAGGAACGAGACATTGCTGCCTACATTGGATGTTACCCCAGGGTAAAATAACATAGTTGTGGAAAACCTGCCTGGTTGTCCTAGGAAAATGATCCACTAACAGTTTTTCACAATGGTACCCAGTGGTGAACAATGACGCATGGCTGCGCTTAGTCACCATGCTTCGCGCACAACCAGACTGGCATCTGGAACAGTACAGGAGCGCAGTGGCTTGAAGGACCAGACTGGCCTCCGGTTTTTCCAAAGGACTGGAGGTGCTTTTTTTCTGCAGCTGGAGGATCGGTCCCCCATTTTGCCGGACTATGTTCGACGACCGGCGCAATCAGACCCTGCATGACCGGCGCTGTGAATCCTTGGGGGCCAAACTTCGGCTTGCGTCCCTTGGCAGTTGCAGCCAGTTCCTGCAGGTGGTGCCGCCCCAGTGACATGTTTGTTGGTTGATGTTACCCCCGTTAACTAGATGTATATTGTAGATACGATAAACATCCATAAACTCTAATTGGTAGCCCTAGGTTTTGGAGTTATGTATAAACAAACTTAGCCTTAGCTAATTACGGCAACACCGAAAATCGGAAAATGTGAACCTATCCCCTCTTCCTTCGCCAGCAGAAGCAGAGCCTAAAGGACTATTTTGAATGCTTAGCAGCGGTGTGAGAAATCCAGAACCCATGGCAGTGCAGCTCAACCAAAACGCCAATGAACATTTTGTGCTGGTATTACCATGGATGCGGAAAACCTAGGGTCTCCCTCGTAAAATCATCTACAAAATGGTGGCTTTTCACATTTATGTGAGTTGACAGGAGGGTATATGCGAGTATTTGCAAAGACATGTCACATAGCCCACATTATAGGAATCACAACCCCAACCTTGGACAGGTAGCTTAATCCTTTTTTTGCTATAAATGGAAAATAACCATAAGCAGCAACGTATTAAATTCTTGTGGACTGCCAAAGATTGACCATGAGAATGGCATAGAATACGTTTATAAATACTACATCTGCCGGGATGGACGTCCCGGGCAGCCAGCTGTTTCGAAAGCCACATGTTTTGAGTTGATTGATATACGTACAGTATATATATATATATGTATTGCCAGTCCTGCTATTGGGTATTAGATACCACACACAATACATGGTGATTCCTATGGGTAACACATACAACTATAGATAATGTGAACACACACATATATATATATATACTGTATATATATATATAAGTAATTAAATATATATATATATATATGTGTTTATATATATATATATATAAATGCCTATACCCTTGATGGACCCATGGAAGTGGGTGATTACTCAAGTTTGAGTACTTTAGCCAATCTTAATGGGTCAACTGAAGGTCAATGTTCATTATATATAATATATATAAAGGCGTTACATATGTATAATATACATGTACAATATTTAACTATATATATATTCACAAGTAATACTCTAAAATATAAACATATGATATATTTATAGACATATTGATAACTTTGTATATACATATATAATATCAATGATATGTATTTATATCTTGGGTTCCACAGTAATAATAAACAATCATAACAATAATAGCAAGACTAATACTGCATGTATAGTACTAAACATACTCATACATAGTAATAATCATATAACATCATATAACAACAATAGTAAGAATCACATACACATATATATATAAATAGTTAAAAATACCTGATAGACATGATATTTTCCTACACTAATGATATACATAGTATTAGTACATGATAGACACGATGGGATTTCTCCAGCCACCGACCACAACTCTTCGGAACTTCCTCACGTCAAGGCCATCACACCAGAGTCGCAGCCTGGCGTGGAGGTGTCGATGTTAAGCTTTGCATGGAGGAATATTACAGGTCTATTAAGATATATATATATATATCATATTGATACATATTGATACATATTGATACATATTATGTTGTTTTCTTATCTATTCATTCATTATATGCATATAATCTACAAATACAACTATACATATATATATATATATGTACAGATGATCTCTCAACAATCTAAAGTCTACTCTATGGATTTATTTCTCTTCCCCTATATTTATACTGTATATATATATATATATGTATGTGTTTGTATACGGAACATCGAAATAGTTGGTTGTTATGGATGTTTATTCCAAAAAATATGGTATGATTGGTGTTGAACCATACCTATATATATATATGGTAATCTCTTGATAATCTACTTCTGCTATATATTTTGCAATCTCTCGCGTACATATCCATAATAATGGTAATAGGCAACAAAATAACAACAATAATGATAACAATCACAACAATAACAATAATACGATAACAACAATTATACTGATAATATATATACAGGCAATATTGTGATTGAGAATGTTTTCTGAAGAGCAGGTGTCGGCAAGCATCCCAGTGATTCGCAAGACGTGCAAGAGATGGTTCACTGGGTGTGGATCGAAATGAAAGGTTCATGAGGAACCGCTGTTTTTTGATTGCATACAGTTCCATTGTGGGAGTTAGAAATCATCTTCAGCACAATTTGCTTGGGGTTGCATCCCAGTCCATGATAACCTCTATAATATACATATAAATATACATATATATATATAGCTGTGGTATATCCCACATATAAGTGGGTTACATAAGTTGGTGGTACTTACCCACTTACAAACTGGTATGCAAATATAACTAATTATACACCATGCACCATTCCATCTGGCTGTGATGATGGGCGCCAGGGCAGAGTGATGCAGTTGCTGGAATCGCTGTTGCAACCTCAGTTCGGCGTAAACTAATGGGTGCATTGTTTCGTTTAAGGTATATAGATATACTCGGAATATGTACTACCAGGTGTATTACATATATATATATATATACGTGGGAATGTATAACAATAAATGTATACATATATACATACTTGCATGCATGCATGCATACGTACCTACATACATACATACATGCATGCATGCATGCATACATACATACATACATACATCCGTGCATGCATACATACATACATACATACATACATACATACATACATACATACATACATACATACATACATACATACATACATACATACATACATACATACATACATACATACATACATACATACATACATATACATACGACATAAACGGACATTTATATATTTCCCAGCTTTTCTTTTGGTACGGGATCTAAGATCAGACTTTAGTGGGGCTAGAAATGGTGTCAATAGTTCCTGCTGAAATTATAGGAAACACCAGCGGGAATGCTGGTGGCACAACAAAACAATGTGCTATGGAAGGAGAACACACAAGGGAACACAGTTTGGTAAGTTTGCTGGTGGGTGCGGTATCTTTACAAATTACAGGTTCTTTCAGGTTGTAGAGTCACTTGGTATTCATCTCGCAAAGAATGGGCACAAACAGCATCTGCGATATGGATGGTGAGTTTCCATCAATGGCACGCTGTCACAGATAATACAGTAATTATATGCCCGGCCCAAACGGGTCCAACATGTGACATCAGTGTATCACAGCCGCTCATGTGTCAGGATGTTCTATGTTTATCATTGTTTACCCTCTGGTTATTTAACATAGCCATGGAAAATCACCATTTTTAATAGGTAATCCATCTATAAATGGGCAATTTTCCATGGCTATATTAAATAACCAGAGGGTATCTCTATATATGAATTATATTCAGTTACTATCAATTTAGCGGACATATCCAGAGTGAGAAAACCATTGGCACGAGTCCCACGGAGTCCCCTTCGAAGCATTACCATCTTTCCTGGGTTTTTCACATGTTGCTGATATCCCTGGTAACTTCACATCCAACAATCCCACCTTTAGCTGAAATCAAAAATGACTGGTTGGTGGTTTGGAACATTTTTTATAACTTTCCATATTAAGTGGGAAGGTCATAACCCCAACTGACGAAGTCATATTTTTCAGAGGTGTAGGTCAACCACCAACCAGTCATTCGACTTCACCGCACGGCCGGTTCCACAGATCTTCCCAGGCTGGGAGCTGTCTCCACTCGACCCATGGCATACCCCGAAGATCAGGCACATGCGGCACATGTGGTCTGGCAGGTGATATGTGATATATGTGGGGACGTCAGAAAACTCACCAAAAATGTTGGTGAAACCCCAACACACAAACGGGGTTTTAGGCAACACACAAACGTGCATTTTATCAACAGTGGATTGAACATTGATTAAAACCAGTTCAAGCAGACACCAAGATATCCAAGATGTGCGTTTTTCACCATGTAAGTGAACGTCTTAACAAGAACTACATAGGGTTTAAAAGGATTCTACGGCTTTCAATCCGGTGCCCATATCCAAGTAGACAAACAGTCACGCTTTGTGCAGGAGGATAACCCTTAATTTGTGGCCATTAAATCTTGCAAAGAAACATGATGACAACAGACAAAGTTCGGATTCTAGGGGTAACCATGGGTAACCTCTATTTTTTTTTGAAACCACGATATGTGGGTTTTAAGAAGCTGCAGAACGGTGGATAGGGACTCATCCCGAGGCCTTAAAACATAGACCTGGTAGGGAGTATTGAATAATACACAAGCCCACCAAGATCGCTTGTTACCATGTAAACAAAGTTAGCTGTGATAATCAGTTTAATGTGGTAAGTCCAACAATAAACCATAAGAAACCTACCATTTGGGGATTGTTCTTACAAACAGTTCTGGTATCGTATTGTCGGACGTGGCTGATCGTATTTGTACAACCGACAAAAACATCAACATGGATATACTACAAGCAACAGAGAATTATGATGTAGCAAACTAATTACAAATGAAGGTTTGGTCTGACTCTAGAAAACATGATGTTCCATAGAGCTGTTCATGGGTACTACAACCAGCAACGAAAGGGACTACTTGATTTCAGCAGTGAACACCTGAGATATAAATATATGAAGCACTGACAATGTAGTTTTTTGTTAATCATTATATAATAACAATAATGATAATGATAATATAATATATAGTACATAAAAAGTAGATGGACATCCACTAGTTACTACGTATACCCTGGACTCCCTGGCAGTGTTGCAGGGCCTTGCAACGCAAAACTTGGTGGAGCAGTTGCTGACAAGGACTGCTGCAATGGAGCCTTTTTTAGAAACGGTTATAACTTATATCCGTGGGATTTTAAATCCCCAGCACGTTGGGATATGGGGCCCTACAACCATGGTGAAATACATCCACTTAGTTCACTAGTAAATGTTCATCCCAGATACCATAACATGAGCAACGCTCCAAAAATACTCAATATGGGATTGCAATAATATGAGATCATGGGAATCCCTATCAGGCAACCAAAAATGGAATAACGTTGCGAGTTTTGAGCACTATTCACGTGTTTTGTGTTTTATTCTGTGAGTGGTGAATACTGTGTTCCCTGAACACCTGGTTCCTGTACCAGCTGCCAAAGCATGGGTCAAACCTTTCTATTGGGCAGTTCAATCTTGTTATATACTGTTTTGTTGGGTGATTCAGGGTGTGAAGCAGAGTACCCTCTGGTAAACTAACATAGCAATGGAAAATCACCATTTTTAATGGGACAAATCCACTATTAAAGGCCATTTTCAATTGCTATGTTAGTTCACCAGAGGGTAAACAATGCCGGGTACGCTTCAAAAGCCCATCTTTCACATGAAGATAGCCGGCATGGCTCCATGTCGCAGATGTCACAGGACCTCCAGTGTACGCTATTCCAAGGAGAACTCAGAGAGGCCGAGTCAAAAGTAGGGTCCACCTGGTCTCACCCAAAAATGCTGAGGCTGTGAAATTTGTACCCTAACCAAAATCATGGCAGGAAATGATGTTTGTTTTTGTGCTAGGATTCTGTACATTGATAATATGCTGATAGTCCTTATTTGATATGGACAATGACCTGTAGTGTCTCTGGGATAGGTTTAAATTTAAATTTTCACCCTTGTGATCATAGTTTAGTTCCCCAGTTCCCCAATGTTGAGGGGATTTGCTATCACTATCGGGCCGTGCGCAGCTGTTGTTGACAAATGCCGTTGATGTTCCCCAGGGTTTTTGTCATGCGGAATGAAGCTACCAGTATTATTTAGTATCCATATCTAATGATCCCATCAGCCACATGTATTTAAGTGCTTCTTGATTCCTGACTGATCGCTGTTTTGTATCAGCAAAGGTTCATTCCTTTCTCCAGCCCTGGAAGTGGTACATGACAGATCTCCTTGTTGTACTCACCATCCTTTTCATCCGCGGCAGGTTGGACCAGGCCTGGGATGTTGGTGGAGAGGGACATGGGAAGAAACACGGTAGAAAAGGTATCAAAAGGTGCCTTCTTTGTGACTTTAAGTGATCGCTTTCCACCAAAAAAAATGCTGTTTTCCGAAGTCTAGTCACAGTTTGCCTACATGTTAGAAATCAATTTCCTACTTATTCAAGGTGACCATTGGCCCTGTGCCACTGCAAGCACTTGTCATGTTGAATGGAAGATATTCAATGCACCAGTCAAACTTGGGTATGTAATTACTCTAGAAATTGGACTAATTGACTGATAAACCTCACCAACCATGTAAAATCATGTGTTTACCCAATAATTAAGGGGTTGCGTTTTTGCCCAGTTTTTACAGGTACGCAGATTCTTGATTAGGGTACCCCCCAAGAAAATAGATAGAATATGATAGAATATGGATTTGTGACACCCTTTTGATCTTTTGGTTTTCCCTTTGAGGGTCTTTTGGTACATAGGTTACCCTTGACGAATCTTTTTGCAGAGGGATGTCCATGGCGGCGATCCAAATCCTTTCTGAGAAGCTACGGCGAACCCCAAAATGACGCTACGGCTGGATCCATAAGGAGAATCTTTAATCATATATATATATATACACATGCCTGGACCGAGACCCTACCCATGATTTTGCGACTTTCACCAATTTTGATGGGTCTAGATAAATATTATTATATATATATATGTATATAATTGTATATATGTATATATACATATATAAATATATAAATATAGTTAATTTAGATAATTTATATAATTATATATAGTTTGCAGGTCGAGGGTTGACTCTCGACCTTTTGGACCTTTTGTTTGAAGCTCCCCAGCCAGTTCCAGCCTCAAATTGATAAACTTACAACTCAGTGAACTTGGCTTTGTAATGGGTATATGATATAGTTAGATGGGTATGGGTTTTACATGACAATATAATATATATATATATATCTTGTTGGTGGTTTGGAACATTTTTTTGTTCTCCATATATTGGGAATGTCATCATCCCAACTGACGAAGTCCATCATTTTTCAGAGGGGTAGGGCTCAACCACCAACCAGATTAACAACCGGATACCTTTGGATGACCTTTGGTTGAAATGCAGCCTGGTTGATGGTGTCTATATAATATATATATATATACATACATATGATTGCACATATGATATATGCAATGGATGGGAAACCAGCTACCGATGCCATGGATTCCATGGATCGTCGCTGTCCAAAGCTGACAGCTTCGCTCCGCGCGGGGCCCTTGGATGCGGAGACGCTGCGGAAGCTGCTGGACTCGCAGCGCATGGTGAAACTCTTTGAAGAGCCATGGCGGTCCCCGGGGTCCCCGCGCCAGATCCGGAGGGATGGATCAAACTGATGACTCGGATATTCAATGGTTGATATTCACGTATTGATTTCATGTATTGATTGGGACTTTGAAGTGCTTAGTGGGATATATATATATAATAATATATATAATAATAATATATATATATACCATATATACATGTAAGCAACTACAGTCAAGAGTTGAATTACTCTCTTATCAAATGACTGGCTGGGACATCATAGATGGGCATCCAGGGCAACTCAGCAAGTACAGCTAAAGCCTCTACACGACCAAACTGTTGGGGTCCTTCGGGAACTCATGTTTGACAGCCAAATGATGGGTCAAAGATGGTTAAAGTCAAGCTTTGTCACTGGGTTGATTGAAGAACATGTTCTATAGATGTCGAATTATGTTTTTTCTAGTCGATATAGTCAATCATCCAGTTTGTAGGATTTGATGCAGTAAACCCGGTACCATACACCTCCAATTTTGCAGGGTTTCTTTACCACCTTTTTGGTGAGTCATTGTGGATGATTTCCAAATATCACTTCTGTCACCTAACACATGAGTCTTGTTTGGGCTGCAGGAATCGTGAATTGGGAACTAAGCAACTGGAAATTGATTACGCAAAACAACACCAATAGTACTGAGGAACTCTTTGTGGATTTTCATTCCTAGTAAGTCCCCTATTTCTTCCTAGTAGCATTCATTTGATTACAACTGGGTCATAGCCTTATTCAAAGGCGCTGACTGGGACCTGCCATTGCTAAGGATAATCCTGACTGTACCTGGACAAGTTGCTGAGGTTTTCAGATGGAAAGGGTGTTCCCTCGATCAGCTCTATCATCATCATCGATATCCATGGTTGTTTCATCAGTAACATTAACTGAAGTGGGATATGGGCGAACATATGGGGTATACATGGGCATACCATATACCACAAAATGGCAGTCTCTATCTGGATCGTGATGATCAACCAGAATTGATTGCCCCTAGAGGGCGGCAACATGAATGCTGGTTTTGCTTGGGGAAACCATGAGACCTGGTCTTGAATCATCTTCGTTTCAGAACCAGTTTTTGGATCGAGTACAAACATGTTTTTTTTGATCCAAACATCTCTTAAAACGTTATCAACTATATCCCGGTATGATAGATGGTTATAGAATGTTATAGATGGTGTTCATGTTTTTTTAGCCCTATCCATTCTTTTTACATGATGCCTTTTTTTCAGCCCCAAAATTATCACTCTCCAGGCCAACCCTGGGGCATCCGAACGGGGCATCCGAACGGGGCGATGCTGAGGTATTTTGCCCGAGAGTGCTTGTCCCAGACCAGGACGGCGCTGGGGATAGCTCCATTGGAATTTCGATTGGAAAATCATCGAAGTAAATGTGGGAACCATGTGGGAACCTTGCGGCACCAAGGGCAACCATGACTTGCAACCTGTTCATCTTGATTCATCTTTTGGGTTTTGACAGTCCGTTTATATTTGTTGCTATTAAAGTAGGATCAATTCAGCTCTTGTGAACCTGTGAAGTTGCCATGGTATGCCCTTGTGTAGTCTGTCAATTTGTTCTCAAACACTGCCCGATGTTTAAGGCTTCATCCATACCCACCAAACATATTATTCCCTTCAGGACACTGTGTGGAGAACACAAGATCGGGCATCAGTCACTTTGGTCCTCCACAATGGTAGTGAACTATATTGAACTTGGTACACATGTTTCACTGTAAAGAGAACCCATACATCTGAGGTGCCATCAGTAGTATACAATTACCCTCTGGTAAACTAACATAGCTATTGAAAATTGCCATTTATAGTGGATTTACCCATTAGAACTAGTGATTTTCCATAGCTATGTTAGTTTACCAGAGGGTGGTTTGTATTTACAGACCACAGGAACCAATATGCACCCCAGTTCTAAACATGAATTTATACATGCTATCCCACGTTTTGGGACTGCATTGTGGAGAAGGATACCTAATTTTCACACACACACACACACCACAACAAACATATTGCTGGTGATATCGCCGTATGAATATTTCATAATATTTCCATGAAATCCCACCAATTCCCTTAACCTTGTCCCGTCAACTAATCCAATGTTGTCGTGGTATGTCGTGGAAATCCCTAAAATCAGTTGGTGTTCATTAACATCAGTTAAAAACAGTCAAGTCCCTAACATCAATCCCATTGGTCTCATCTTTCTCTTGGTGAAATCCTTCTGATGCCAGGACAGCTGCCTCAAGGCTTAGGCGCATCAAGGCCCTTCGGCACTTTGCGGCTACGCGAGATGGCGCAGGTGGTGAGATGCAGAGTTCATGGGGGGTTCATAAGAAATGCTTGGGATATAGACAGCCAAAAGGATCCAAAAGGTCTATATATATATATATATATAGTAACCCCCCAAAACGGATAGAACAATCAAATCCCCCTGAACTAGGGATGGTTGACCTGTCTACTTTTTGGAATTGGTCAACGCGGATTTAATGGGAAATGGGGACAGAATATCATGATCCAAAACTAAGCAACTACAACTATGTAAAATTGATCCGTTCCAGCTTTCATATTAAAACCACCAGAAACCATGGTAAAAAAAACAAAGGGATTGGAAACCAGATTTGGGACGATGGGCAGGGTATTTTTGACAAAATCGGGGTCTGGGATCCATGGGATTTTTGATTGGGGAAATCATAGTCGGATTTCTAGTGGGAGGAGATATGTCAGTCATACACAATGCGGATTTCTTTATATATATATATACATATATATATATAACGCTCAACTGTTGGATAATGGTAGCCATGGAATATGGTCATGTCGAATAGGCAAATCATCTAGCGATGGGTAATGATCCATGTCTGTGTTTAATTAACGGAGAATGGTGTGTCTTGTTTTTTCTTGCGGGGAATCATTTACAAAGCGATAATGTCATTTTATGAAAGAAATGTGTCTTCAACACTTATTCGAAATCATGCATTTTGATCAATCAATGTTAAATCTGTAAATGGTTCCATTTATATAATAGATCTGGTCAAGAAAAACAAGGTTGGGATATGATATGTTGGGAGTACTTGGCACCCCCATCCTCAGTCTTCATCTCTATGTTTGCCCCTTCGCACATCTTCGCACATCTTCCAAGAGGCTCACTTTGAAGAAGTCGTGGTCAAGGCCATTGATGCTCATTGGTTTGATGAAGAGAGCTGGACTGTGGCGGAAAGCCAGGAGCCGCGATAACTGGTAAACAGAATGGTGAATGGTAGCCGAACATATGGTCGATGTTGAGACGTTTAATAGAGGAATTTAGAGAAAGGTCTTATACCGTATACCCCATTAGAATATAAGATTGTGTTCAGTATGCAGGTTTAGCCAGATCCCGCAGCAAATATTCCATGGCTCTTGAACTACCTCCATGAAACACACGTTCGCCGCCTGAAACCCATTGAAATCCGCTTGTGTCACAAATCAGCCCTGGAATCCAAGCCTTTCCACCGGATGGACTCGTTTCAGCATGGGAAATGCACCAAGTTTCTTGGTACAGCAAGTAGTTTGGCCGCATTCTTTGGGAAAGAAACTTGCATACCACCAGCAGCAAGGCCAATTTCAATTCAATATCACCCAATTATGATATATATATAATATAAGAACATAAAATGATATTATGATAACATGACATTTATAATGATAAAATCTATGTATAATAGTACGATCCTCCTCCTTCTCGGCATCATTTTCATCTTAATCCCATCCTTCAAGGGAGCGCCGTGAGGAGTTGTTCCATTTCTTAGCTGCCTTGGAATATCCACTGGGCGATACTTGCACAACGCTTGAAGTACTACGTGCTTGGTCACGATGCTCAGCATTTTTTGGATATTTTTAGCCTCTGGTTTTATGACTAACATATATTGAACATGGCACATTTATAGTTGATGTACCTATTAAAGATGGTGATTTTCCATAGCTATGTTAGTTTACAGGAGGGTAACCCAGATTTTGCCATGATGGTCTGTCTTTGTTTGACTTGATCGCTTGGTGTCGTCCCATGATCACTTGGGAAATTCCATGAAACATCACTTGAGTATGAAGGATTTTTCCCTTACAAAAACCAGCAACATCTATTTCTCTATTGCCATGTTTGAGTACCAGAGGGTATTTGATATCTCAATTCTATTGCTCATTGGCTGGTCAGCTCAGGAAAAGGAGGCATAGTGGCCGTGGAGAACTTAGTGTACCTCGGAAGAGGGAGAGACTTTATTAGGTATAGACCCTCAATTTACTAACATAGCAATGGAAAATCACCATTTTCAATGGGAAAATCCACTATAAATGGCCATTTTCAATAGCTTTTTGTATGTTTACCAGAGGGTAGACCCTCAATTTACCCATAGACATTGACAAATTGCGACCCCGCATCTGGTTATTTCTTCCTAGCATATCCATCCATATCCTGCCATGCGAAAAGGGGACGAGGATCAAGGAGTCTTGGGAAAAGGAGCTGACGGCGGTCAGGACAAGAATTGGTTTATGATGGTTTATGTGTAAAGTTACAGGAACATGGGGTTGAAAAGACAATAGAACCCAAGTATGTTCAGTTTCCCCTTTCTAATCCGTCTAATCTAATCCCATTATACATTATTATATTCGTATTTTCTCCAATGATTGTTGGATAGATTTCCTTAATATAATACGAATATAATAATATACATTGGAGAAAATAGGAATATAATATGTATAATGGGAGTAAATAATATTTGGATGTAATACGTCATATTTATATACTTTCTCCTTCTAATTTCCTTACATCCCACATAATCACAAGAGTATCATAACAGTATCATCATTTTCTCCATGACCATCCGCTTGCATCGTAGTCATCGTAGGTTGGGCGGCACCTGGCACCCCAATGGCTGGAACGGCATCGAGGGCTGTCGCTTCATTCCCGAGCCGTGCTTCGGCGAAACTTTGGGGTTGATCATGTGATGAATCATGTGGTTCAGCACAAAAACATGGTAGAAATATGGTTTAATTAGTTTCATAGTTTATATTTGGTCGTATAAAAACATATGGTTAATGATGGTTAATGATGGTTAATGATGGTTAATTTCATGATCTATGTTTATCATTGTTTATCTATATAGTTTAGATACGACCATCATTAACCATATGATCTAACCATTAACCATCATTGATCTAACCATTAACCATCATTGATCACCATGATCCATCATTAATTCCATATATCCGGGTAAATTATAACGACCTCACTGTTCTCCATCACTGGAAATCATGGTTTATTTTAGGGGAATCATCCCCAAATGGCCGCACTATTCAGGTTAGTGAAATATTATAATTTACCCAGAATAAATATGATTAGCAAAACTGTTGGTAATTCATCCTTGTTCTTTGATTCATCATTTGATACTGAACAGATATGTTCATTCATGGACAAGTATATATAAAGGTATATCAAGCATGGAAAATAATCATCGATGTTTTAGTGATTCATTAATCACTTTATATTAGAACATATTAATATATTAGAACCACAATCATCGCGATACACATCATATAGATCTTCATGGCCCTGCAATGGAAACAAACACAACTCTGACTGGAAAACAATCAATGAACACATGTGTATGACAGATGTGTTCCGTTGAAACGTTACATTGCTTCAGGGTATCAGCTAGCATAGTCAATGAAGAAATGGCCGTTGCCTTTCACCTCCTTCATGTTTGCATCAGCTAGTGCTTGACACGTTGCTTATGAATGCCACAAGCTGGGAAAACGGGCATCATTTCCCAATTTGAAACTTACATACATATATGAATATAGTTATATATATATATGCATATCTGCACAGATAATTGAGCATGTGATTAGATGACCCTGCATTGGATGTGTTCAGAACTTGCGATTCCCCAAATCATAACTATCCATTTGGGTTCCACCCATTAAACTGACCATCAAAGAAAAGAGAAGCGAAGTGATCACATTATTTTTTGCGCACCCCCAGTTTTGCACACGTCCGAAAACCCTCAGCGTAGTCTGTTGTATCTCCACATATCTCCACCTATTGGTCAAGTTGTCATGTTTGTTGTTGACTAACCCATCGGCAGATAGATAATTTACATTGTTTGTTGACTATGGATTTATCAAATCCGATCAAATTCCTACATTTGGTGGAACCCACACAATTACAACTGGACCGTTCAATGCTTTCATCATGTTTGCTCGAATCCCTTACTACTTGGGGCCGCATCTCAGCTGCGAATTGCCTAGTAAATGAGCTAAACGAATCACTGCGACTACAGCCACTGGTCGAATGCGATCACCAATCGAATGCAATAAATACTCCCCAGCTTTGAAGACTTTCAGAATAAAAATATCAAGACAGCAATTATTGTTTATGTTTGTCTATATGTTTGATTCTACTAGTATCAGGATGTACCAGGTATCACAAGGAAACCACAACTTATGCAATCCTGGTAGACTCAAGGTCTGTCGATTATTCTGGGTGCATTATCACGACCTCGCTGGTTAGTAGGGGGTAACTATCCCCACATGGCTGAACTTTAGAGGTCAGACAATGATTCAAATCCAGGCAGAAATCAAATTATGTCTATGTATTTGGTTAGTAAAGTATAATCAGCATCAACACACATTACAGTACTATATGATAAAGTACACATAACCACTTACTATATCTTATTATATACTTTGATCATGCAACGAACTTGTGAACTTGGTTAGTTATTCGTTATTACCCCCTTACTAACTTGCAACCCCAAACCCCCAGACATCCCCAGACCGAGTCCTGCCGCCAAGGTCCTTGTCCTTGGAAGATCTGCAGTCAATGGCTGTGGACTCCGATCGAGCCCGTGCATGTGAACTTTGGGCACTTCGGCGTTGCTGTGGATGTTAACTGTGTATATAACTACATAATTACATGTATTGTAATGTATTGTATATGTAATATGCATATAATATATAATATGTAATATGTATATATATATATTATTAATATACATATATATATATATATTATTAATATATATATATATTATTTTATTACATAGTATATTATATTATATTATATTATATTATTATATTATATTGTACTATAGTATATTATATTATATTTTAGTATAGTATATTATAGTATATTATATTATATTACCTTCATACTATATATATATACATAATTACATATACATACATGCCATACCAAATACAAAATACCAAATACAATATACCATATGCAACATGCCATATACCATATACAATACCATTACATTACACATTTTACATTCTATACAGCATGCATTATATGTTATACATTATACATTTTACATTATACATTACACTATACATTATACATTACATTACAGACATACATACAAATATAGTATATGTGCATTTATGATATATAGTCTAGACTCCTGATCATGCAAGTCCGCAAGTCCCTTTGGCCGAGGAACAAATGATGGCCTGACTGGTCCTGTCCTTTGTCAACAACTGGTGAGCGAGTTTCAGCAACCTGGGTCCTGGTAAAGTAAGCTCCCATTCTGACTAGAAAGATATCTTCGGGGCAATCTAGACGGGTTGGATTTTTGATTACTACGAACCTAATATTAATATGGAAAATACAAGTCAAAAGAATATGGTGGATTCTTGTCCATACCATATGAAGTGGCACAGAATCTCCCGTTCTTTTCCAGCTCTCTTTGGATTTGAGAGGACAGACCCAAGTGGCCGAAACCGTGTGGGCGGACCAACCGTCCCGTGTGGACGAAGCCGTTTGGGCCATTAACAGAGCGCCTTTGCAACGCTGAGAGCAGTGGAAAAGGGATTGGGCCATTTTGTCGCCCTGAAGATGACTTGGTATGGCTTGGTATGGCTTGGTTGGTTGATGTTCATGGAGGCCGACGATGATGATGATGATGATGATGATGATGATTACAGTAGGGGGAAGACAATCATCGATTGTAGTTCTGATGGATTCAACTTTGTAGATTTCATGAAAATGATGGTAATGATGGTGATGGCAACGACAACAATAACTATGATTTGATCCTGCCATATTTGATTTGACGGTTCCAGGCAGCATTTGACACCGCAAAAACTGCCATAATTCAGGCTGGGGGTACCCGTTTTTTTACCGGGGAACATATGTCTTCATCTTGTGAGTTCAAATGAACTTCCTGTTTTGGTGCTGTGAATAGACCTTCAACCTCTTTGAGCAAAATGGCCTTGGTGTTTAGAGGGTACTGGTGTTATAATGTGGCAAACTCACTAATAAACCATAATAATACTTACAAGTGATAACTAATGGTATATTAGTGAGTTAAAAGTTATCTGGTTGGTGGTTTCAAACATTTTTTATTTTTCCATAATATATGGGATAATCCTTCCCATTGACTAATATTTTTCAGAGGGATTGAAACCACCAACCAGACAATAGTAGTTATCACCAATCATGTTTGATACTTTTCATGCCCAGAGTAAGTTCCTGTCAAGTCACCCGGGATGATGTGTCAGGCATCGGTGTCATTCGTCCACAAGGCCATTTTGGAGTATTTGTTGGTTTGGGACCCCAGTCGCCCCAGTCTGGATGGGCAAAATTGGATGATGTTTGATGATTTTTCTTGCGCAAGGATATTGAAATATACCCTCCAGTAAATTAACAGTTTGACCCTGAAAATCACCAATCTTGAATGGCAACTAGTCTTCCAACCCCTATTTGCCAGGGTCTATGTTAACTTACTGGAGGGTATTATATAAATATATTGAAATAGATTGAACTATATGGTCGAATTGGCATCTTATGGAGCCAAAGGTGGAATGGATGAACAGTTTAACTGTCATTCTAGTGACCTCAACAAGGTAACCAACCAAGATTGGGATCGTTTAAGATCGAGTTTAAGCCACAGGATGCCGAATAGATTGACAAATAGATGCAAGATGTATATACAGTTTTGTTTTTCAAGTTTTAACATGCATCAACCATCTAGAATATAATATATAATATATAATATATAATATATAATATATAATATATGTTTTTATTGTTTTTTTTTAATAGTGATGAACCATATCTGGTTGGTGGCTTGGATTTTGTCCATGTTTTTCCATATATTGGGAATAATGATCCCAACAGGCTACTATTTTTCAGAGGGGTTGAAACCACCAACCCCTAGCGATTTTTTTTTTACCAAAGCACTGATCGGGGACGGCCCCAAGGCCAGCCCACATTTGCGCCCAGTGGTGGAGGTGCGGACCCTTGCCAGGTAGAACTTGGAAAATCCCAAAAATAAGGCGTTTAATTGTATATTCACAATTTCCATTAATGTTAATTAACATTGAGATATCCATTAGTGCCATTAATGTTAATTAACATTGAGATATTTCCATTAGAATGGATGATTAACATTGAGATGTCCATGAGCATATCCATTAATCTAAATAATCATCCATGAATATCAATTAATATACCAACAATTAATGGATATTCATGGATTACTATTTAGATTAATGGATATTAAGAT